CTGAGTTTAAAGCCTGTAAATCACCTGCAAAATGAAAAATATTAAATTATGTGGCAATTATATTAGCTGCAAGCAATGCATGCTCAATGTACATCATCTGGTGAAAAGGGATATATTAACATTTTCTTGTTTGTGGATTTCCCCAAAGATACTGATGGCGATAAATTGGCCAGCACTGCTCTCCATAGGAGTGTTTTATGTAATCGTACTGGGCACAGGTATCTGGGCATCCAGGAAGTCCAAACGTGAAGAGAAGAAGTGCACTGGGAACCGCAGTGAGGTCACAATGGTTGGAGGGAGGAACCTAAACATCTGGGTCAGCATCTTCACAATGACAGGTAGAATAATAGCAATGATGATAATAATAACATCATAGATGATTCTAGTCAAGGAATGTGACCCTTTAACGTTTGTAATAGAAACAGTTCATTTAGAGACTTTTATTGTGAAATCAGTGGACTCAAATGAAAAGTTTTCAAATTTGTAATTTGAATGCATTTAATTGTATCAACTTATAACAGGTGTCCCTACAGTCATTAATTTTCCTGCGTGCGTGCTTATGTTTTGCAGCCACTTGGGTCGGAGGAGGCTATATTTTGGGTTGTGCTGAAGTGGTCTACGATCCAACAAAGGGGTTGGTGTGGGCTTTGCTAGTACCAGTTGGCTTTGCCATAAACCTCATTATTGGTAAGTGAGGTTGAATATGATTGCTTAGATGCCGCAGGTTGATAAGTAGTGAAACCATACACTGCTCAATAATCACTCTACAAAAAAACCTGTAGTAAATGTCAGTGCTATAATTGGCAAACGCTATTTCTACCTATTCCAGAGATGACAATAAAAGCTAATATATTTGTCTGCTGGCCTGCCTTTTTATGCATAAACATCATTTTAAATAATTTTTTAAGTCTTTGAAATGTTTCCGTTGATGTGACTGCAGGTGCCCTCTTCTTCATCAAACCAATTCGGACGAAGAACTATGTCACCCTCATGGACCCATTTCAAGAGAAATATGGCAACACTGTAGCTGCCATTCTTTTCATTCCTGCTCTCATAGCCGATGTCTTGTGGATAGCATGTATTCTTGGTGCACTGGGTAAGTAAGAAACAATGACTTCATAAATATATTTTCACTAAGGGTGTACTCACTTTTGTTGCCAGCAGTTTAGACATTAATGGCTGTGTGATGTGTTATTTTAAGGGGACCGCAAATTTACACAAGCTGTACACTCACTACTTTACATTGTAGCAAAGTGTCATTTCTTCAGTGTTGTCACATGAAAAGCTTTTATCAAATATTTACAAAAATGCGAGGGGTGCACTTACTTTTGTGAGATACTGTATGTACATACACACACACCTAATTACTGCTCTGGGAACACTTAATCATCACAGTAAAACACCATGTCAGTTAAACTAACTGGAACTCTAGCAGGCTACTGGTGTGCATGTTTCTGACCAGTATGTCAGAAACAGACTCCATGAGGGTCCTACGTCCTCTAGTGAGATCTGTGCTCACAGCCCAGCACCATGCAGCTCGATTGGTATTCACCAGACGACACCAAAATTGTGACAGACTTGAAAGAGTCTGGTGACCATTATGCTGCCTGCAACATCATCGGTCAGTGATGGTCTGTGGAGTATATCCTTGGGGGTCACACGGACTTCCATGTGCTAGCCAATGGTACCGGGATGAAATCCTCAGAGCCATTGTCAGACATTATACCAGTGCAGTGGGCCCTGGGTTCCTCCTGGTGCAGGGCAATGCCCGGCCTCATGTGGCCAGAGTGTGTAGGCAGTTCATGGATGATGAAGGCATTGATGCCATTGACTGGCCCTCCCCAGACCTGAATCCAATTAAGAACCTCTGGAACGTTATGTATCTGCGCATTCGACGCCACCAAGTAGCACCACAGACAGATGCCCTGATCCAGGTCTTGGAGAAGATTCCCGGGCCACCATCCGCGTCTCATCACGAGCATGCTCAAATTTTGTAGGGAGTGCATACAGGCACTCAGGGGCCAAACACACCACTGAGTCACATTATGAGTTGCAGTGATGAAAGTCACGCAAATTTCATTGGGATTTTTAATCCAGCCCTCAATAATTTTGGTTTCTGCTGACCACTGTTCCATCATTTTGTTCTCAAAGAAAAGATTTTGAACTTTGAACAGTTTCTTTCATTGGGATCTGATGACTGTTACAGAGTTTACATAAATACAAATAGAATTTCTACAAATAGAAATGCACATTAAAATGCTACTTAGTAAATGCAGTTTAGTGGTGCTAGTGTCATGCTCTTTGCTCTGATCTATAAGGTGCTAAAACAATAATTTTAAAATAATGAAAATTACATGGCATCAATTTTTGTTTGTTGCTTCAGTTCCTGTGTTTAAGTTTTGTGAAAGTAGTGCACTCTGAGTGTATATATATTTGGGGTTTCAGGAGGGACGGTAAGTGTCATCGTGGATATCTCCTCCATGCTGGCTGTGTGCATCTCTGCCGCTGTGGCTATCCTTTACACATTGATGGGAGGACTGTACTCTGTGGCCTATACTGATGTCATCCAGCTTACCTTCATGATCTTCTCCTTGGTACAAACATTACATTTCAACTACCTGCAAAACTGATGACTTTCCTATCAACCTCAGCTTTAGCCTATTTTGTATTTAGTGCTAATAAGCAAATGTTAGCATGCTAATACGCTAAACTAAGTTGGAACATGGTAAACATTGATCTGCTAAACATCAGCATGTTACAGTAACATGTACACATTCACATTTATGTCAAATCACAGCTGTACTAATGTTACATACAGCTAGTGCAGCTGTTGTTACAGTATCTACTGTTGATGATCAATGATCAATTTTTTATCTACAGAACTGTACACGACTGACACACAGTGTTTTCACCTCTGTTTCCTGTTTTCATCCTTATTTCAGTGGCTCTGTGTGCCTTTTATCCTGACAAGCCCCTACTCTGCTAACATCACTGTTGCTGCAGTAACCAAGCTGCACCAGGAGCCGTGGCTCGGCAAGCTGGAGCTGGCAGATGCAGGTTGCTGGATAGATGACATATTGACACTGGTAACAGACACCTATAACGGTCCCCAGTTATATATCTTAGAAGAGCAATTCCACTAAAATCTCTTAAATATGGGAGATCAAGACAGACTACAATGTGATAACATAAACAACATTACCATACGTGTTTAATGGCCAACCATTTCCTATTGATAAAAGAAATGTTTTGAGCCAGGTTCAGGTGTGAAGAGAGTGATGAAGACTTAACATAGCATGGTTTATTGAGCCCAGCCGAGGAGATACAATGCCAATACCAAGTCTGAAGGATAACATCTTTTGGTTCCTTTTATGTCTTCTCTCTAGTGTCGGTAGGTTTCCTTCTTAGGTCATCTTTAGCCAGCCTCAACCTAGAACAACAAATCTTTGATGTTTAGACTCCAATGCTACATCATAATGGAATCTATCACTATACATGAGTTGTACTTGAATCTGAGGAGCCAGTAAGTTCTTGTGAACAGTCTTATAAGACTCAACCTTGTAAGATTCTCAGATAACACTAATATCTGCTAGCCTGAAGCCCTGTTACCTCACTTAAGCCCACTAACACAACTAGGAACATAAATTACATTATTACATTGCATTATTCATGTTGTAAAAAATCCTGTCTTTTTTCTTCTCCAAGGTCATTGGAGGGCTCTGCTACCAGGTTTTCTACCAGAGAGTGTTGTCTACAGCCACTGATGCCCAAGCAAAGACCACCTGTTTTGCTGCAGCAGTATTATGTCCAATCCTTGGCGTCCCATCACTCATCATTGGGGCAGCAGCGGCATCTACCAGTACCATCTTCTCATTTTCTTTCTGTCTATTCGACAAAATCAAACATCTCTGACCAAATCCCACTTATATCTTTGTTTTAACTACATGTGCTTAATGTCTGTCAGATTGGAACCAGACCACCTTCGGTTCACCCAGCCCGTTAGAACAGGGAAAAGCTGGTATGATCTTGCCAATTGCCCTTCAACATCTCTGCCCTTTCTACGTGTCACTGTTTGGTATGGGAGCACTTGCTGCTTCAGTGATGTCGTCAGTGGACTCTGCACTTCTGTCTGCTGCTTCCCAACTGGGCCGAAACATCTTCAAGAACATCATCTACAAACAGGTAACACCTCACATCATCACTACTCATACATATGTTGTTGTTTTTTTTTGACATTTAGCGACAAGGACCTTATGATAGGACTAAATATTTCCATAATTTAACATGAGTGTAATGTGAAAAGACATTTGTTTGCATCTGTCTATGTTCATGCAACTGTGATGGTGAAGCAAGTTTCAAGACTCTGTAAAGTTGATTTTCCTACTGTAGTTCAGAGCTTAAGCGATTAGAATGACTGAATAACAGAAAATGAATGGGCAACTATTAACCAATTATTGGTTTAAGTAATTTATTAAGCAAAAAGACAAAGAGTTTGCAGCCACGCTAGCGGCTCTGTTAGGCAAATGACAAAACAAACATGTTTGCTCATGAGCATAAAACACAAAGTTTAGCTGAGGCTGATGGGAAAGTCAGTTATGCAAGTAGTGACTAAAAATGCCAAACGTGCTAATTCTGTCTTCTCAAATGTAAGAATTTCCTGATTTTACCTGTTTTATATCATTGTAAACAGAATGTCTTTGGTTTTTGGTCTGACAACACAAACCATTTTAAGACATCAACTTGGGCTCCAACAAATTTTTCACTGTTTTCTGACCTTCTATTAACTAAAGTGCTAATCAATTAATAAAACATAATCACTCAATTGATAATAAAATTAACAGTTGCAGCCTTACTGTAATTAAGTGAATAATAACCTATAGTTGCTTGGAAAGTAGGAAAGCACATACAATTTTAAACACTATTATATGGGCTACTTAAAACTTGCACCAAAGTTAGTGTTCGATTTGAAATTGCTTATAAACACACAAAACACTGAGTTCTTTGAAGGTTTTCTGTTTTTTATAGTATCACTCATCAAAAATCAACAATGTGATCCACATTTTGGTTTAATAAAATAAACTAATTTCCTCTTACTGCAGGCATCAGAAAAAATGGTTATCGTGGTGGTTAAAATGTCAGTCCTCCTGTGCGGACTAATAGGAGCAGGCCTGGCCTTGACATCATCGTCCATTTTCCTGTTCTGGATGATCAGCGCTGATGTCATGTATTCAATGCTGAGTCCCCAGGTGATATGCACCTTCTACTTATCTCGGTGGGTGAACAGCTATGGGGCCTGTTCTGGCTTTGTGGTGGCAATACTGCTGAGAGCTCTGGTTGGGGAACCCTCGTTAGGCCTGCCTGACGTGCTGCCCCTGCCCTGGGACAGGATACAGGGGGACGGTCACCGATACCGCTTGTTTCCTTTTCGCACCGCCATCATGCTTACCACCACTGGGACAATTTTATTAACATCACGCCTTGCTATGTGGCTGTCTGGGAGAGGGCTGCTGAGAAGAATAAGTGATGCTGAAACGGACACAAACATATATCACATGGCACCAGTCCAAACAGATGTGGAGGAGAAGGGCAGATTTAATGAAGAACAGTCTCACTTACCCTCTCAAGGAAGTCATGAAGAAGGAAATACATGTTAGGATTTTTTCTCAGCACGCACTTTCATACAGCGTGTGGGTGGTGTTTAAACCAGGATTTCTTTATAAGGGTCAAACGAGCACCTGTAATAATTCCCATGGGGGTCATTACTCTGAGTGAGTTGTGTTAAACATCCATTTAAAGAGAAAACGTATTGATATTTGAAATATATAAACTGAAAATACATGTGATATTTGGTTGTGTGCAGTTAATTTCTTTGTATGTCTTATTTTCTTTCATTGCAGGGGACAGCATCGCGCATATGCCAGAACACTGTATTTTTAGGGAGACACACTAGCACCAACCTTTAAAAAGGGGCACCCCGGTGATTTAGCATTGCACTTTAACTTGGGAACTGATGATGAATGAGTCTGAAACTAACTTTCTAATTTATTTGCTGATTTAATGGGTTGCCTGTGAAGGACAAGAACGGCCTAAATGGTATTGTTAAAATCTGCTCCAAGATAATTGGAGCCCAGCAAAGAAACCACTCCATGTTCTGTCCAGTGAATTCACTGTAATGCCCACAGGGCAGCATTGTAATGTGCCCTTGAGGAACAAACTGTTACCCTAAGTCTTTTATTCATTCCGCTATCAAGGTTACTAAACGCTGACAGTAGTCATTTTAAATGACTGTTACATCCTTTTAAACTCCGTTCTTATAGTTCATATAAATAACATTTATTTGGTTTAATTTTACTTAAAATTGGTTAAACGGCTACTCTTTGTCTCCTTGTGTTGACCTGTTTATGATCTGATCTCACCTTTGACATACAACTACCTTGCATGTGAATTTGAGTCGTGTGTATGGACCAAGTAAGCAACAAATGAATTACACTTAAAAAAAATTAAAGGTGTCTAAATCTTTTGTTTGGCCCTCCCTGCCTGGTAAATACCCAGGTTTCAAACTCCACAAGTGTGTATTGCAGGATTTCTGTTACAAATTTTCCAATTTGTCCAAGTCCAATCCAAGAAAATCCTGATTGCATCATCAGGCATCTTTATTTAGAATATTCCAGTGAGCAGAAAAAGGGAAATCTATGTGTTAGCCTCAAATGAGGAATGACAATTTGGGTCAAGCTCAAAGATATTTCCACCAGGCACAGTACTGTATAAAAGGGAGAGTTCAACCAAAAAACAAAGAATAATTCACTTATTCACACAGGAAGTATTTCTTTGGTAGAAAGTTCAGGTGAAAACAGTTACTACTGTTAACAAGAGTGGCTAATCCAGTGATGTTGTCCCATTTAACTTTTCAATGCTGTGAGCACCATGCACCAAATGCCTTCTTTCTCCACTATATTGGGGTGGAAACACAAATCTCAGACCAATATCTCAAAACAATAGAACTATATGCATAGCCAGATATCATTAGAAGTACATGAGAAAAAGGAATATATTGTGATTTGTACCCAGTTATTCAGAATAAAAACAAATATTCTGTTGCCAAATCACTGTTCACATTTTGTATTTGACTTTCTGTGAATTTGAAAATTCTTTGTCAGTAATAAACAACAACTTATATCAAAATATCAGTGGCTCACACAAACCAGGAAGATTATTTTTGCACTGAATTGTGCATTTTGTGTGGAATGTTGGCTTTGAAACATTTCCAGAAAATAATGGCTAGGCTGGTCCTCACATTAGGGAGGGTTTTTGGGATGTTGTGTTGTACTGGCACTTCATGTAGGCCTTCATTACAGCCCCTTTCTGAAACGAGCTGTAGATGCTACGGTCTCTTTAAAGCCCCATCTCTCAAAGCCCAACTGTCTGATTGGCCAAGACCTGAAGTATGTTCCAGGCTGTTGTTGTTGCTGGGTGGAACTGGTATACTGAGCATTGCCGTGCGGTTGCTGTGGGAGCAAATTACCATTCACACCGGCTCCTTAATACGTAGAACGGAGCCTTCGGTAGAAACAGCAGTTCAAAACAGAGCGTTCAGAACAGGAGGAAATCTGAGGTTTTTCCTCAAAGGGATTTCTTATAAATACTTTAACCTCATTTTTTGAAGCTTTGGCCATGTTTAACACAAACATCCAACATTATAACATTGTAGATAAGTCATAAAATGTGGAAAAGCATAACAGGTCTCCTTTAAGCAATTATGTGTCAAACAAAAAAATCAGATGTGGGGGAAAAAAATTTGGGGCCTGCAGTGTGAATGTAGGCTCCTTTTTCAGATTCAGTGTATATGTCCTCACAGTCTGCTAGCTGTCCATTCTGTGCGCGATGAAAACATATCCTGTGTTTGTACACAGCCATGTCTCTGTAAATGGGGAAAAAAAACCCACAGTGGCCTGCATCATAGTAAACACACATTATTCAAGTAAATCCCAGCCATGGTTTGTGTGTCAGGCAACGTTAAATGACTTGCCCACAGACATTCAGCTTACTTTCTAGTTTGCCAAGACATGCTGCTGTTGTGATGTTAGCTATAGCAGCAGGAGAGTTGTGAGTATCACCGTCTTGAGCTGTTGTGCTGACTCATCCTCTCTGCATTTTAGCAGCAGCTACTGTAGCAGCTTGCTAGCAGTTATTTGTCATGGAATTGGATTTCTCCAGAATTGCTTACCCCACCTTTACTTGTGTGTCTGACCGTGCATTATAAAAGTCTCTTCTTGCCTGAATATTTTACCGCACTTCAAACACTGGAAAGACTTTTTGTTCGAGTGGATCTTCATGTGCCTTTTCTGTGCTCTCAAAGTGCGAAAGGATTTGGGACACACTGAACACCTGTAAGGACTCTCTCCTGTATGTTGGCGCATGTGAACCACCAACTGACACTTTGCTATAAAACCTCTCCCGCAGTGTTTGCACGTGTATGGACGCTCTCCTGTGTGATACCTCATGTGCAGCCTCAGCTCCCCAGAGGAGAGAAAAGCCTTCCCACATTCTGTGCACAGGTAGTTCTTCTCCCCTCTGTGCATCCGCATGTGTCTCGCCAGGTGCTGGATTGAAGTCTTTCCACAAATGTCACATTTATAGCGTCGGTCTCCCGTGTGAATGCGAACGTGCAAATCAAGGCTATTCAAAGACCTGAAACCCCGGCCACAGCGAGAACACAGATACGGCGTCTCGCCTGTGTGAATCCGGCGATGCACATTCAGGGCGTCCTTAGACGAGTACGTCTTCTCACACTTGTCACAGTGAAATCTCACTGAGTGTGCTTTTGTGTGTCTGTTCAGGGTCGACACATTCTTGAAGACCTTTGTACAAACATCACAAGTGTTTGTCGTGCTCCTCATCTCAGTAGTGCATGTTTCAGTATTAACCTTCTGAAGGACATGGTCTGTCTCAGGTTCTTTAGACTGAGATCGGCTGGGTTCCTGGATCAGGTGTGCCTCTGTGATGTGCTGCAGAAGACCTGACACTTGGCTGTCTGAGTAGGGACACAAAGAGCAGGTCTGCGGTCCTACAAGCATAGGACTGTTTAAATCTGAAAGAGACAAGATGATAAGCAGATTCAGTTTAGGGGCTACAAAAATGGAAAGTTTTTAAGAACAGTATTACTGGAGTGTTTTGTGTCAAGATTATAGATTTCAAGTACTAGTTCCTTCATTTTCTTTTAATCTTTGATATCAATCCTTGTAATATTACTACAGTTGTCCTAACAAATGAGCAAAGCCGTCTAAACATGGAAATTCAGTTGGGAAGCAATTGTTTTCAATGGTGTCTAAAACCGGATGCCATACTTGAGCAGCTTGCAGCGGTCAGGTCATTGCTTTGTTCATCTTTTAACTTCAGGTCATCGTCTTTGCTACAGTCCTCCAGATTAATATCAATTTGGTTTTCCTCAACGGACTCCTCATCCTCACTGTAATCAAACTGCCCTTCATCTTCGCCGCCTGTGGACAGTTCCTGATGCTCTGTAGCAAGTTGCTTCGAGTTTGGTTTGGGAGGAAGAGACAGCCTTGGCAAAAACATACTCCGAGTTTGAGAGTAACCTGTGAGGAGAGAAAGAAAACCCATTCAGATCTCTGTTAGTTGCAAACACACATGTTGAGGTGTACATTTAATGGTAAGCGTGAAGACACTTTACTCAATATGGGCCTATGAGTTACACCGGGTATCTGCATACTTGAATATAAATCTTTTGATACAGCATATAAAACTCTTAGAAATCCATATTCAGGAAATTTATATGCATATTAGCTAGCATAAATTGCTACAGCTAAGGAATACAGCTACAGCAGCCAAATCAATAGCATACAATTCACTGGACTTACCATTTTTTGGCTGCCAGAATAGCACCACTGTAGTTTAGATTTTATCGTAAAATCCAGCTGCTTTTCAGCCCGTTTTCCTGAGTATTTTTCAACAACCAGCCTGAGAGTTTTGTCATTTTTACTGAGCTACATAGAAGTTTTCATATCAATATTGGTGTGATATTACAAACTTGTAAGTGGATGTGCGCTATCAAATTTGCGACACTTACTGATGTTTGAGGGGTTTTTTTTAAATTGAAAGAACCCATGGGTAACGGTCACATTTCTCAGCATGTCATTAAAATGCAGGGAAGTTCAAGAGGTGGCATGAGACAAAAAAACAAAAAAAAAAGTAGAGGTCGGGGAGCACAAGGGACAGCAGCTCGTGCAGCAGCAATGATTACGCCAGCTCCATTTCTTCGTCCTCTCGTGTTGGAATGAGGACAGACGGGACTCTAGTGACTCACTACCACATCTTGAGGCATAAGCAGTTACATCACAGGACGGACCAGGGCTAACAGGTTAGCATGCAAACTTCAGTAGATCTCTCTGCCAGGTCAGAGATGTTACTTCTTCACATTCTGTTGATGTTAATCAGTTGTTTTACTGTTTTAAACTACAGTGCTGGTCCAAATCATACACAGTGTACTTTTAAACATGAAGCATGTTCTGAACTTAAATTTCAGTGCTGAACAATGCAAACTCAGGCATCACTTTTAAAGTCAGTAAATGTTGCAAGAAATGTTCACATTGTGTCTCTTAAGAATGCCTGGTGGTTTCTTCTTTAGCGCTGTAGAAGAAGACTTACATTTGTTTGTGCTTTCTGACTGTTGCTGGTGAAAGTGCAGTAGCGCCTTCAGCTGATCTGGTTCCAAAACCAATTGTCCACATTCTTCCATGACAGAAGGGGCGGTTCTGAGCCACGCTGCAGTCTGCGAAGTGTGGGCAAAACACATAACACACAACAAAACACCATACTTCTCCAACATCCTCAGTCATTCCAGGCTCTTTATTCAGTATCTTGCTTGGTGACAGTTACTAGTCTATAGTGACAAAGTGTGAATCCAAACTTGCATTTATGTATTCAGCTTCTCACATAAGAAATGACAAATCCCATTTCTGCTTAGAAATGATGGCATGCATGAATCCACATGTAAACTAAGGCACTTAGTTATTATTTCAAAATGTACAGTACCTGTTTAATATCTGGTATAGGCAAAAGATTATCCAGTTTAGAGATGAATTTCCATACTAATGTGTGCATAGTGTTTTCATACTGCTGGCCATAGTGGATGGGAAAGACCTCCTGGGGGAAAAAAGAAGGTAGGCGCGCGCACACACACACGGTTTTAGTCTTCTTGTGTCAATAATTTCAGAAATTGCTTTACTTTCACTTGTCCACTCTCAAGGTAAGCTACTTGACTTATTGGCTCCATCATACTATTTTTTTTTATTTTTTAAATTTTTTTACAAAAGTAATACTAGACTGATCGATAAGCCCGTTATCAGACACAACTTTTATTATGGCAATCATGTTAAGAATGTCTGACCTTGAAAAACATCCTTCTCTCCTCTGTGTCCTCGAGCAGGAGATGAACAACTTCCACAAAGTTTGACTTTGAATTTTCCAACTCCTCCAATTCCTGTTAAGTGGTGTCAAAAGCAAACAATAAATGTGTTGTTTCCCAAAGAGTGAGTTCAGGGTCCCTTTTGACTAATCAACAAGACGCATTATCAATTCAGAGTTTCATCAAAATCAGCACATCATCATGAGTGGTGAGCTCAGGCCTCACTTGAGCCAACACTCAGTTTCCTGTGGGTCAGTAAAGTAGCTGATGGACTAGAAAACTAAATAAATAAACTATGTTGAGCTTAAGAGAAGCAGAGGAGCTGGTTTGTGTCTGTAATAGCAGGAGACTGGTTGTAGAGGGCACCTATAAAAGCTTAAAGGATGGAGCCACTTATAGCAGCTTAACTAAAATTAAAAATATAAAGAGACCAGAATTTGAACATTAAATAACAACAACAACAACAACAACTCAGGAATCCTGGGCGTTCGAGGGGAGATGATCACTGCCTCAGGCAAAATGAGGTGGAGATCAATGATCTCTCAAAGGACTAAAACGGCTAAAAGAGCAATGCTACTTCACTTGGACTTTGACTGTCTGCCTTTGACCTCAGCCTTTCCCTGCTGTTAGCAACAGAGGAGCTTATCCTGTGTGTGACAACAACAGAGCATCAGTTCTGTGTCTACCACACACAGCTAAAACCTTGTTCAGGTGATCAAAGTGACAATAAAATCCAGGCCTATCTAATATCACCTATTGAACGCTTTCAAATTGTGTGCGTCCCTCTTTGTAAAAAAGACTTTGCAAAATGAATGAAAAGTTGACCCAGCCGCCTGACTTAAGACCCTTTAAAAAATATTTTTTACACTAACAGCAGATCAGCTGACAATTTGTAAAGCACTGCAGATCCTACTGAGAATCAGCACACTCTGCAGCTCTATGCTGCTTTCAGTTCAGTATTCAGACACACCTGCAGACTTACCTCCTGGTCACAGCTGGAGCCTATTGTAAGGTTTTGAATGACCCCCAGCTGAGGCTGTATATTCAGCAGGTTGGCTGTGCTCTCGCTGCGACACAATTCCAACACCATCTGAAACAGACACCGTAACAGACACTTATATATCATTGTACTGTTGTTTCTCTAATAATATGTGTAGGTGTAACCTCAAAAAAGTTACATTTTAATGTTCTAAATAATAGTCTGCCCAACAACAGCAAATATCCTTAAGATGTAAGATTAGTTATTAAAATCCACTCCACTGAAAAAGAAATGACAATGCTTACCCTTGCCCTTAGTCTGAGCAGGAGTTGCACTTTATCTCTGGGCGTCAGCAGCTCTGGGAGAAGCTCGGTCACCAACCTCACCAGCTCCTCCACCTTTCCATAGTGTAGCACATTACAACCTTGGACTACTTGCCAGGCAAAAGCACACATCAGACGCAGCGTTGGAACCAGGAGACACAATGAGGAGACGGACAAGCGGCGACCTGCAAATGGGGTAAGAAAAATTACAGAGCAAACATAACTTGCATACAGATGTATTGACAAAGTTCCAAACCCAGAATAGGTGGTCCCCCCATAAATTTGCACTTGCAATAATTAAAACAGTCCCTGTGTTAGCAAATTTTCAGATCCGAGGAACAACTACTAATCATCACTCTCTCCTGCATGAAGTAACCCAATTCAGAATATTATTTCTAATGTTACTTGACACATACTCTAGTTTTAAGCCACAGTAAAGTACAAAGACAATTACCTAAGTCTTCTACAGTTTCAGAAGGGTCTAGCTGTGATGTCTGCAGAGTACAGGCTGAATCAATGACTTCAGCTGCTTGTTCAGTCTCAGCCTCTGGCTTATGATGACCAAGGACTTTATCCATAATGGTGAACCATCGGCTCTTTTGTTTCTTAGAGTCCGTCTGTTCCTTCACTTTTCTGTACTTTCGTTTCAGCAGTTTTATCTTTGACCTGCATTGGCTGGTGGTCTTATCAAAGCCCTGAGTGGCGAGCGCGGAGCTCAGCTGAGCAAACCCTCTTTCATTTCTAGTTGACCTAAGCTGCTCCTGGACGCTCTCCTCTGCCCATCGGGTGAGCAGCGCTTTGACTTCATCTGGTGTCCAAACAACCCGTGTCATATCTGTAGAAAGCCATGTAAACTAGGTGAGAGCTCTCAAAGATGCAGATACTGACCTTTTGTCGTGATATTTAAAACATACCTTTCGCATGCTCATCCTCTGGTGATTTAGGTTGTGTCAGCACAGCAGATGAATCCACCTCTATAGAAGTCTCTCCACCAGAGCCAAGGACTCCATCCAAAATAGCAAACCAGTCACTTTGAACGTCCCTGTACTGTTCCTCTTCCTTGATTTTCCTGTACTCCTCTTTAAGGTTGTTCACTTTAAGAAAGCACTGATGTGGTGACTTGTTAAACCCCACCGACTTAAGTTCACTGCTGAGGTACTTAAAGACTTGATTGTTTGTTGCTGTGGTGAGAAGCTGCCTCTGAATGTTTGGTTGTGCCCAGAGGGTCATCAGCACTTGGACTTCATCGGGCAACCACTGGGTTTTATCTGTGAAAGTACAAAAAATCTAGATCAAACAAAGGAAGTTAGATAAAAAAAATAAATACATAAACGATATGAAATGACAATGACATTTAATGGTCAAAAGTTCCTCCCTTTTGGACACAGAAAGAAGAAGCTGTTCCTGTACTGTATTATCTGCCCAAGGCATTAATGTCCAATGGGGAGCAGCTGATTGTGTTCTCCAGCAACACCTGCTGTAGCTCATTTGAAATTGCATAAATGAAAAAGAAAAAAAGAAAAAAAAAGGCTAGCAAAACATAAAAGTCTTCAGATGGTAACAGCATTTGGTTGGTTTCTAGTTTTAATTTCTACTTACCATCAGTGTCAACATCCAGGACAGACTGTGACCGACGGGGCAGTAAGGGCTCTGTTATTTCGGAACGTCTTACTGTTGCAGCCTTGGAGCTGAGGACATCATCCATAATGGCAAACCATACACTGCTTTTGCTTCCAGCCCTGTGCTGACCGTGTTTGATTCTCTTGTAGTCCTGCTTCAGTTTTTTGATTTTCTCCCTGCACTTTTTCGGCGCTTTGTTGAATCCAAGAGATGCTAGTTGAGCACTGAGGTGAGCATAAACTTTATTATTCCTCACGTTGAGGAGAAGCTCTTCTTGAACAGCGGGATTCGCCCAAAGTGTCAACAATGTTTGGACCTCTCTATTTGACCAACAGCATAATGGTGTTTCTGTGAAAGCAAGAAAACAGATAAACTAAATACATTTTTTAAGAAGGCAATGCATTTAAAGTTTTATGAAAAGAACTCACCCTCTAAGACAGTGTTGTACAAACGGTTTAGTACACCAATTCTGCACGGCATTTAGCCTCTGGCCAGTTTGCTCACACTGTATCTTTCTAAAGACTTCATCTAGGCGCTTTTCTTAAACACCACACCTACCCATAATATATGGATTCATGAGACACTGCAGTTATTAGGCTTGACAGCGTCTTTCCTGGCTCGAAATGAGGTAGAGGTGGTACCATCCTGATGTACCGTGCCTTAAACTGGCTTATGCAGGTATACGGATATTTTATTTATTTAAAAATAAATAGATAAATAAATAAAATAAATAAATAAGCTTCCCTGTTCATCGTTAAATCAAATACAAGATAAAATGTACAGTTGTCAAATTAAATCAAATATAACATAAGTTATTGTTTTCATTTAAAGTTCATGCTCCTCTTGCAGTGTTCGGGATATTATATGTTCATCTGCAATTTTCTGTAGTTGTCCCAGTGATATTTGTTCTTAGTGAAGCATGTCACATGACATGGTTAAGTTATGTTTAAGACTGTAATCCTGTTAAACAATTTGCTGGCAAATTATTATTTACATGTGCAGATATCCTGTTTTTGAGGCATTTAAAAAAAGAACTTAACAGATGTATTTTATGTCACACTTAGACTTATGGTTTATTTTACATCCAAATTTAAATTATTAGCATTTAAACGTTCATTTTGAAACCATAGCAGTCTTTTCGCAGGGTCTTTTCTGGTGCACTGTGCTGACTACGATACAGCATCACCACATCAGCGTAATGCCCCAATTGAAGTTACAAATGACAGAAATCCACAAAGTGCAATGCTTACTAGATAATAGTGTTTATCCTGAGGACACCCATCAGATTTTTGTCAACAGATGGAGGTGGCTGGTTTGTAATTCTGCTTGAGAGGATTAGGTTCCCGCTGAGAGGCTCCCTAAAGATCTTCCATAAAACCTGGCAACCACACCTTGTCTATTAATAACCCCTTTATTTATGTTATTCAATCGGAATTTTATGTTGTTCTTCATTTGACAAAATGAGCATTCCTTTAGCTTGGTGACTTGCCTTTTGCTGACGCTTGCACTGCAGTGGAGGTCAATGTGGTGCTTGTAGACGGACCGTTAACATCTTCGAGTTGAATGGAGTAGAAACTTGGGTATTCTGGTTTCTCTGTGGGGTAAGGTGTTGGGCCTGGTGTAGAGCAGGGGATGAGGTTGCTGTCGCAGCTTCCAGGAATATCTGTCATAATGGATGAATCTGCAATAAAAAATTTTTTAAAAAAAACTTAATGAACCGGTTTTAATTAATTGGAATAGGCAAAGAAACACCGATTTCCCTTTTATCAACAAAACCACACAACCTACAAAAGTTTTAAGAAAAAGGCCCTGTCATTTGACTTAAATTAAACAAGCTGAATGTGACTTCTTTTTTTTTTCTTAAATTGGAACAATGACCACTTACCTGTTTCCATGTCTGAAATGGGGCATTCAGGTATCATGGTGGCTGACTGTTCTGTGTCCTCTGTTGTAACTGGACTTTCACTCATGATAGTGTCCATGGCATCGTACCACCTGAAGGTCTTTCCTTTATCCCCACTTCCGTCACTGTTTTTCTTTATTTTCCTGTATTCTAGTTTAAGTTTCTTTATCTTCTCCCTGCACTGTTTGGCAGAACGACTCACCCCCACTTTGGCCAGTCTACCTGACAATTCTCTGTATACTTTCTCATTCCTCAAGGATTCCCCAAGGTCGTGCTGTATTTTTTCTTCCGACCACACTGCTATAAGCAGCTCAGTTTCTTCTTGAGACCAGTTGACCGGCGCCTCCATGTTGTTTTCTTTCTTTTTGTTCTTAAAGGAAGAACTGACTACAGAGATTTGCTGCACGTGAATGTTATTTTCAAAATGGCGCTCCATCCGCTTGACGTCACACTGTTTGAGCCTATCAGATGTGCCCTTGTCTAAATCCAGGCCGGCTTGGGGCGGAGACGGGGGCGGTGCCCAGAGCAGATCCGCGAAGAAGAACCAGAATGCTTGATAACGGTTTGACTCGCGCAGCGGGGTAAGGGCGTGCCGTACCGGGCCAGTGGAAATGGCCTTTTATACGCTGAATGGTTCTTGCAAAATGCACTGTATTAATTGACGAAACCGACGCCGCCAACACGACATATGTTAACAAATTGTTACGCAACAACACATGAAAAGTGCATGAATATCAGCTATTGTTTTGAGCACCAACTTCGAATGTAAAGATAAGAACTTATATATATACTATTGTGAATCTCTTTATTTTATTAGGGAAGTTTCATGTAAACACAAAGCTAAATGCTCTAAGTCAACCCCATGTTTTAAGTTATTCTTAATTCAAATTGACATGTACTTTGAGTCTCTTAAATTTGTAACGAAAGAAATGCATTTCAATAATTACTATATGCTCGGGCTATTTACCTAACGGATACTTTCTGTCACCACAAGTCTGACACTTATTCATTTCTCCTTTCAATTTTTAAATATATCAATTCTAATTTTTGTTCAAGAACTGATATGACTGACAAAAAATTAAATTCTAAATAAAGTTATTTATAATTTTTAAAAAGCTATTGTTACAATACAAAACAATTCTTGTCAGCATTGTGTTATAGTATTATTGTAATTTTATGTATACTTTTAAAATTTTTTGATCTAGTTACTTTTTATATATTTACATTTCTATTTATGTTCACATGTATTGTAATCACCAATTTATACCAAGGCAAATTCTTTGTATTTGATAATGTAACTGGCAATAAAACTGATTCTGATCCTGATTTGAGCACTGATAGCTCAACTGGCTAAACATAAACCCCTATTTATGTGCCATTTCGTGGCTCATGTTTGGTCAAGACCACAGTGGAGAAAAATGTCTTTCACAAGATAATAAACACACCAGTAGGATAACAGTCCTTTACCATGTCTTTTTATTTTTCTGCAAAACATCAAAAACAAAAAAATATTGAGAACACGTATTAATGGGCTTATTTACATGCCTACTCACAGTAGGATAAGTAATGGAAACGCTAAGATTCACAGCACAAGCTCATCACACATTTGTATAATCTTTACTGTCTGGTAGCTACGTTAAAATTCTCAATGTTTTCTTGTGTAAAATAATTATTAACAAAACTACATCTACAGCTGATTAAAAGTAAAATCATAATAAACACAACCCAGCATATTTTCACTCTAAAACAAAAGCAAAGTAATTGTAATGTTTATAGTTCAGGGTTACATAAAAAAACGTTTGAATCATTACCACAAGAATACAGTAACAAGATAAAATGTTTCCTACTGACACTACAACATTTTATTACATACCAGACAAACTATCAAGTCACATGCATTGAAATACTTATAATTATTGTATTGTTAACATGATGCTTTTCTCTTAAATTCTGGCTATATTCAAGTAGCGTCTTGAAAAGTGTTTGGAAGATTATATTTCTTTTAACCCATCGTAGGGTTTTTGGTAACAAAAATTACCAACTACTAACTACAAAAACAGATAAGAAAATTATTTTTTTAATTGCTACCTTATATTTCTCAAAATGACACAGCTTAGGGTAACTTCATTACCTAAACTCAGTTTGTCACATCACCTAGTTATATGAAAAACAGCACTGACAGTGCAGTGAAACAATGGACTTTATTAGCTGAAACAATTGGAGTCATCTAAATACCTATTTTAACTCAAACTGGGAGTCTTTAAATTCAATGATCAGGAAAATAAAACATTCAAAATGTGTTTTCACTACCCAAAAAAACACAATGACCTGATCCCCACCTTAAGATAGCAAACCTGGAAAAACTTGAAAACTTGACCAGCTGTTATCAGTGATCCACATCAGCCCAGGAAGCCCCAAATCAGAGCTTATTTATTACAAAATGTTTCTTTGATTAATAATCATCGCTAGCTTCATCTTCCTCATCATACTTCCTCTTGAGGGAGTGCTGCTTGTGCTTTCCTCTGTGTCTCCGTTTGCCAGAGAAGTCGGGATTAGCATCCCTCGTATGCAACTGCTCATGCTTCTTAAGAAGGCCGGGGACAGAGAATCCCTTCCCACAGGTGTCGCACGTCCAGGGCTTCTTGCACGTGTGAGTCCTTTTGTGGACGTTCAGATGGGAAGCCAACTTGTAGGTCTTCCCGCACACGTCACAGCTGAACGGGCGCTCGTTGGTGTGTAACCTGATGTGGACCTTCAGATTCCCTACCTGAGTGAAGGTCTTGTCGCATATGGAGCACCGGTAGGGTCTCTCTCTGGTGTGGATCCTCAGGTGAACCCTCAGGCAGTACTTGCTGGAGAACTTCTTTTGGCAAACGGGGCACGGGATCTTGGCTTTGGGCACGTGGTCTTGCTGGTGCCTCTTCAGGTCGGACAAATAGACGAAGGTCTTTCCGCACTGGGAGCAGAGATACTGGCGGTCGCCAATATGGTAGCCCATGTGTCTCTTCAGCAAGCTGGGAACGAGGAACCTCTTCCCACAACGCTCGCACATGTGGGGGCGATCTCTGGTGTGCCAGCGCTCATGGTTCGACAGCTTGAAAGCAGTTGGGAAGCTTTTGCTGCAGTGCTTGCAGGGGAACGTCATCTGGCTCGTGTGGCACTCCATGTGTCTTTTGAAGTAGGTGGACTGTGTGAAGCCCTTGTTGCAGATGTTGCAGTAGAAAGGCTTTTGGCCGCTGTGGGCCAGCATGTGCTTCGTCAAGCTCTGCAGTTTGGTGAAACACTTACCGCACTGGCCACAAGCGTAAGGACGCGCCGTGCTGTGGGTCTTCAGGTGGTTGTTGAGGAACGCCTGCGTTCTGAAGCTTTTGTTGCATGCTGTGCACACGAAAGGCTTCTCTCCTGTATGAATGCGCTCGTGGTCCATTAGCTTGGACTGATAAGGGAAGCTCTTGTCGCACACACTGCAGGTGTATCTGTCAGCCGGAGGCCTAATTTGCTTTTTCCTTCTTATGCTGGGCTTCATGTCATCTCCTGCGCTGAACCTGGCTGGAGGAAGTGGTGGCAGTGCTGGGAGTGAGAGCGAGTTGGTAGCAATCTGTGACACCCACTGATGCAATGTGACTCGCTGAGTCTGGGGCTTTTGGACATCTTTTGTTCCCCCACTGCCTGCATTCTGTACGGTGGAAGCGGGTTTGATCGGCACTTGAACCACCTTGAAAGGGATTGACTTCAATGGCAGCAGCCCCCGCTGTACTTCTGGTTTGTGTGGTGTTGCTGGTGCCTTATCTTCCCGTCTGCTTTGTAGAATTGTGGCAGGCTGTTCCTGTGTCTCTTGCACCAAATTCTCCCTCTGAGCTGTTGTTGTGACACTCTTTTCCTTAGGTTTTCCATCAGCTGCTTTATGAGTGTATCGCACTCTCCCCCGTGGTCCAGTATCGGGGGCTGCTGGGCTATTGGAGTCATCTGACATCACTCCCAAGTCTTCTGTGTCACTGAGGGAGGCTGGGCTTGTTTCGTTGAGAGTGACCTCTAATCGTCTTGGTGATTCTGGTGGTGGTGGTGGCGGTGGCGGTGGTTCTACTGGTTTGGGCCGAAAGGCGAGTGAAGAGAGCACACAGTCCCCAACCGAGGACGAGATGGTTGCTGCACAAACGGAGAAGGCTTAGTCAAATTCATTTATAATTTTATTTTAATTAATGGTTTTCTTTTTCTTCCATACAAACAACCTAAAGTATACCTTTAACACCCAGGAGTCCCTTGGCCTGCTGGTGCAGGAGGAGAGTCTTCAGGTCCCCGGGTTCAGGGATGAAGCCTCCACACGCCTCCAGGAAACTGGGCTCCGTGGAGATCATGGCACCAAGCTGTGGTAGAGACGCAGAAAATGGAAATAATGAATGAGTCTGCAGTATAGATTTATATCACATATCTCTGTACATATTACCACTTCAGGAAGCTATCCTCTGCTATTTTATTTATTTAGTTTTTAAGGTGTCTTGCTGTTATACATATGTAATATAATAACAAAAACAAAATCCTTAATTCAGATCCTTAATAAGACAATTTCTTCCACTGTATTATGTAAAATGTTTACATAATAAATAGTAAAACTTCATTCCAACATGACTTAAAGCGTCAAGAGGTGTGGAACTTAATTGAATGACTCTTGCAGACATTCTGAAAATGTGTCTGTATACTATAATGTGTGTTATTGATCTTATTCATTTGGCCTGTCCATAATGATCAACTACAAAACACCTGTGGCTGGCTGAGAGGAACTCTGACCTGGGGTCAACCGATTAAAAAGACTTCCTGTCTCCAATCAGTATCCCACCCTGCTGTGACTTCCCCAGGCTAAATGTCAAAATGCAATGACGGTACATGTGCACACCTGAGAGAGATTGGGAACAGGAAGAAGTTGCTCCAGCTTGCACACCAGACCTGCAGTCAGTGCCTGCAGCGCTGTGTCGAACTTTGTGCCATACTGAACAGGAAACACTTCCTGCAGAGAGAGAAGTGCATATGAGTTTAATAGCATTAGGACTTGTGAGGGAGTGAACACTTTTTTCAAATAGAGTGATGCATGAATTTAAGGTGTTATATCTCCATAAGCAGGTGTTTAATGCATCTGAATTTATGGTGTAGCTGTTCTCATTAACATATTTTCTGGATTCTGTTGGCAGAAATTTGACCCCATTCATAAATACTATGCTGTACTGACAATGTTAGAAGCAATAAACGGTTTGTCATATTCACATAGAGCCACAAAGCATCTGTTACCACATCTAAATGGCTTTGAGTGATTACAACCAACCACTGTTTAATACCACATTAAAACAGAAGTGGATACCTGGAAGAAAAGCTTCCTCTCAGCAGGGCTTTTGAGCAGATTCTGGACCAGCACCATGAAGTTCGTTTGAGATTTTTCCACTTCTGAGTCCTTCTATAACACAGGAAATACTTTCATTTCCCTGATTTAACATTAATTCACACATTGGGATTCTAAACGCACACCGTGTTTAAAGAGGGTATAACTGTATACTGTATGCTTTTCAGAAAGAAAAAAAAAAGTTGCCATTCTTACCCCTGTAGAGACCTTCAACTTATTTATGAGAGTTTGAATAGCCTTGGAATCTGGTGGGCCCGCTTTGTGAATCAAATCCAAAATGATCTATTGTATAAGACACAGATTATAATAAATGCCGATCTTGATTCCTGCTGCTTACATAAATTACATTCTGCTATTTGACGCACACACACGCATAATAGAGGAAAAACTCTCACCCTTGCTCTCAACCCCAGAAGGAGCTGGGCAGTCTGCTTGAAACTCATGACCTCAGGAACAGTCTGTGTCACCATGGACACAAACTCCTCCACTTTCCCATACTGCTTCACATCTCTCTGCCGTATGACCTGCCATATGTACGAGTATGTCAGCTGCAGAGGGGAAGCCATCAAGCGAAGGGAGGCCAGGGGAAGGGGACCTCCAACACCTGTGCAGAATATTACATATAGTTAGGACGTTTAGTGCTTAGCATGAGTGAAAACACCAGCAGCGTGTTTTCTTGTTTGAAGCTGGCTAGGTTTCACATTGAGGAGTCTTTGATGTCACCGTTTTACAGCTCATTGTCTTTTATCTGTTGCTATTCTGACAGAAACAAACAGAAATATGTTCTAAATAGGTGTAAAAGGCCCGCAACAACTAAAGCTCTAAACTAGCAAATACACATTTTTAATACTCCCTGCCATCACCCAACTGAATGGTGTGAGGAAAAGGCTGCATTACAAACATACACTCATTTTATTATTGTTTTAACTTGTGTACACTGAATTTTCATGATGTGTTTATGTGCTTCACACTGTGTTTCTGTTTCATTGCTGGGTAACTTGCTTAATCGCCCTTCGGGATGAATCTTCCCCTCTATCAGTGATGATGACGACTGAGTTTGCAAAATGTGTGTTTAATACAAACTACCGACAGCAGAAGTGGTTGAGCCAGAAGCTTCTCTAGGGGGCGCTGCAGTGCTAACTACACGCTTTGATCACTGCAGATAAGCTGCAGAGGAGTTGAAAGTGTGCACGTTTGCGTGTGCACGCGCAGTCGTGTAGAGAATGAGCGCCAAACTACAGCAGAGTTAGATTCAAACTTTAAGTTGATGGTCTGGGCGGTGTGTTCTTATTTAAGGGAATCCGCATAGATGATATTACACGATGCAGTGCCCGAGCAGGACATCCGGGGGTGCTTTCATTTAAAATCAAGCAGGCTGGACAGCCCCCTGTAAAGCTCGTTAGCTAGCTTACCACAAAACAGCGCCAAAATAACTGAAAAAACTTCGCAACACGCATGTTTACCTGCGTTTAAAAGAAAACCGTCAGGTTACCGCAACAGATGGCCTAACGCCGCATCTCATTTTCTGACCACCGTTCTCGGCGGCAGCTAGCCACTGTTAGCTTGCTAACGTTAGCTTAGCAACTTACCTGTAGTATCAGAGCGTTTCTCCATTATGTGCTCAGGGTCTGTCGCTGATTCATGAGTTAATCAACCGAGTGCACACATATGCGTACAACGTTGCAGTTGACCCTGAAATATAATGTTTAAAAGTATTTAACCGTCTTTCTCTCGACCGTCAAGCCAGGAAGAATAATGGCGACCGCTGGGTAGCGGCTTTCCAAAACAAAAGTCTGACTTTTTCCGGCGGATCTTCCTGTAAAAAATAAAAGCTTTGGAAGTTGCTATGAAGAAGCAAACGCCACAGAAAAGCAACAATCGGCCGTATGAATTGTGATGGTACATTATGATTTTAAGTAATCAAAATGATTTTAACCTTGTTTGATGCACTCATTCTTGTCTTACTACAAACAGGAGTAACAGTAAAACACATGTCCAATGAAAACAAAGGAGTTACAGTCAACCACCATCCAGCTCAATGCTACATTACAGCCACAAATGCAGTTTTATTATTATAAATGTAATCAAAACTACAAATAATGCTAAGGTTTTTATTTGTGCAATCAATAACCAACCCCTGGCATTTAATTTGTACATCTTTGAGATAACATCAAAGCTCAGAGGCCTGAGTAGATGACCTGACAAAGTTCTACATGAATGTATGATCTGTTCTAAGATCCTTATGAATAAGTTCAAATATTTCACTTCAAAAACCAAGAATGGAGGCCTTTTATGAAATCACTTGTTGTCGATGTTAAGTGAACTTCGTGTCTCTTTTAAGTTGAATGGTTTTTCTCTATTTTTTTCATTTTAATTAAAAAGATATGAAGGAAACATTCAGAATTGTTGCACTGTTTTACAGACAACAATAATAGGATGTACCAATATATTTTTTTTACATTACTGACAATCTCAGAGTATACATATGTTATTGACAACGTGATTTTGCTCATGGGCCATTTGCAGGGGGTGGGCAAAACAATATCAACATATCATAAAAAAGGACATTGACCAAATAACTGTTATAAACTGCTACATACATGGGTCATATGGTATTCATTTGAATGCCAGTTAGCCAGACATTTAATAATCAGTACTTTTATATGTGAATTATCAAAAGAACTTGAGACAGACAACAAACAAAAAAGGCCAAACTGCAAGAGTTTCAGTGAAAGTGTAGAAGAGAAACAGAGATCAGTTGAAACTAAGAAACAAGATATATAACACACCGGCATTTAGTGGGATGATAAATACAGCTATTGACATCTAACTACAAGACCCAAGGCTGTAGCATCCATTGCAATGATTTACTTCAAAGTTATATTGTGTTTTCCCAGAATGTTCACAGTATTTTGTCCACCCCCGTACATTCATGACTAGAATTGGTCTACTTTTTATTTACGAAGTTATAACAACAACAACGAACAAACGTTCATTACATTTTGGAAGTGGTGTGACAAAATAACTTAATCATCTCATAAACAATACAAATACACATTTTAACAAAATTAAAAAAGAAAATGACCAATTTGTATAATTGGTGACCAGATACACAATAAAACACACACGTTGTAGACCTTCTCTACAACATGAAAACATTAATTAATCCATAGATCATAGATGTGTTTTGCAAGTAAATCAGAAAACTGTTATTGATATACTAATAATCATCTGTAGATGAGGCCACATAGCCTGTGGTCTGGAAAGATTCTTAGCCTGTTGATTCATAGTGATCTGCCGACATCAGTCGCGTTTGTAACTGACATTTCCTCCAGCCTACGGCCAGTTCTTTTGTGGCGAGAACAAGCCCTCCTTATGCTTCTCACTGAGCTCATCCGTCCATCCATCTATCTATCCATATCTCCCTCACTCTCCCTTGTCCCGTCTGTACTGTCTCTCGCTCCCTGTCTCTGACACATACAGTACAGCGCTCACACTCGGGGGAGTCATGTTCTCATGACTGAACATGATTGACTCAGTGAATAAGCCATGAAAAACTCTAACAAACTCACTGTTGGCCGAGCAGCAGCTATAAATCACTGGGCAACAGCTTTGAAACACAATGGTGGGATTCAAAGGGCCTCCGGCGATGGCTCTCTGCCATCTGGTCAGATCTTTGATACACAAAGTAGAGCGCTTGTTGAACTGCTCGGTGTGTTTTTTGCAACTAGCTGGTTGGTAATTTGTGACAGATCACAGATCAGAATAATGTCAACAACAAGTACAAGACAAGCTGCAGTAGATAAGACACAGCTTCTTCAGTCGGCCCTTTTCCCCCCAAATACATTTAAGTTGTTTTACAAAAGGCAGTACTGGTAGGAATGCACTGCTCTGCATGTACCCTAATGCATTTCAGGATAAGTCAGAAAAAATAGCAGTATGTTGACTCCACAGCAGTGAGGACCATCTCTGTAACCACCAGGCCACAGCCAACAAATTGATGACAGGGGTCCCATCTCAGAATGAAATTACGTCCTCCAATAACAGTGTGATATCATTTTGATTTGAGGCTCCAGCGATACATTCACAGCAACACCCTGAATGGCAACAGTTCGGAATGGCAGGAATGAAAAAAAACCAACTTGGTCAGCACATAGAAGCCAAATGCTGTTAAACACTGGCCAAGACGAGACAATTAATGTACTTCGCTAGAACATTTTGGCAGATAACCAGCTACTGTGCAGAGAGTTCATCTTCTGGTCCCAAAAAAAACTCTTTGGGAGGTGAGGTGCTAGAAGAGCCTGGGGAATTTTGTGATACGCCTGCCTTCGCAGCAGGTGAGTTTTCTCTGGTAGCTCGGGTCCATGCACTCAGATGAGTGAAAGAAGAGGAAGAGTGTCAGACAACACTCGTTTATCCAGCAGGCTCTTGCCCATCACAGAACATCCTGGAGAGTGAGTTGTTAAACTGCTGTCCAGATATCCCTTTTCTATTAGTCATGCTTCATCCACTCTCATGTTCAGGGATGGCCTCCCCCGCTGGCTGAGTGTCGGCAGCGTGGGTGAGTGTTTGAAGCGGGATGGAGACAGACACAGTTGGAATCATGTCAGAAGGTGCCATTTGGCTATTTTCAGTGTTGCACACTGGTAAACGCCTTCCAGACCTGACCTAAAAATAAAAAATAAAGATAGAAAATCACACCTACAGCCAGTGTTCTTTGTTTGACAAACAAATAACAATAAATTTCCACAACGGAAATCATTACATATTAATAACAGAGCCTCAAAGTACTACTGAATATTTGATGAGTAGTTGTTAACTTTACATGAATTGCCTTCCTGGAAGTGCACATGAAGGCAAAGCCACATTATCATGTGGACTTCATTAGACCGAAACCACAGAGACCCAAAGGAACAAGGTTCTGTGAAGTTGATGGGAAATACAAAAAGTAAGAGAGCCACTATAATTTGGGGTATATATACAGTCGATAATATATACCCAAGATATCATCCTGCCTGAATAACTAATTGTGAAATGGCTTCCAGCAGAATTCTTCATTCTCATTGATATGAGGACCATGATGAGTCTGAGGAATTGCATTAAGTGCTCGTTGCGGTATAGAAACTATTTATGCCTTTTGAGTTTGACATTTCTAATCCTTTTACACTTACATTCAATTATCTGCCTGAATAGTATGATAAGTGTGTGCCAATACACGCAGCAAAGGAGAAAAAAAACTTTTATAAGGTGAGAAAAAGACTCAACAGCTATGATGGCACATGCTCACACTTGACAATGCTAACACGCTGATGTTCAGTAGGTATGTCCTTAATCTTAATTTTGTGTGTTAGCGTGCTAACATTTTCTAATTAGCATTAAAAACACCGTTACATTACATACATTAGTACATCCGAGGCTGATGGGAATGTCATAAGTTTTGGAGGTAGTTGCTGACATGCCACTGACAAATTAAAATTTCTGAAGATGTTGCTGATTGAAAAAGGGACGATACACCAATGACCATTCATCCTGTTCAATTATACAAAAAAGCCTATCTGCAAGTCTCAGCATTCCCTCTATGTGTATAAATTATTTGAAAATTAATTGTCATGTCTCTTTAGAAGTAGTTAATCCTCTTTGAGTTGGTTCACTCACTTACCAGCCATGCTAGGATAACAACACAGGCTATGAAGGGGATGAGAGCCAGAAGCAAGGGTGTTCTCTTCGACCAGCTGGATTCACGACCCTCCTCCTGACCCCCTGGAAGAAGGAAATATTGGAGCTATTACTGGCTACAGTTGCACCATAGACATTTGATAGTGGCCAGGTCAATCTTCTGGATGTTTATTTAGAGAGGTAGTAGAGAATGCTGGTGAGTTTCACGCATAAAAAAACTCACTTTGGTTCCCTTTTGAATGTCAAGTGGCATAAAAACATACTTAGCAGGCATGAGACTTGCTTTAATGCAGCTTTTGATCATAGGATTCCTTAAATTACCTGTATTGGCTATGTGTTCACGGTTACGAATGTAATTCCTTTCCTCAGCTGTGTGTGTCCCCAAATCAATATCTGCCCACTAATGGCCCACTAAGCTGCTTTAGTTTTTTAGGCATCCATTAAAAATATGAATGCAAATAAATTATGTACCTGGTGTTTGTTGGGGATTAAGGCATGGTGGCGGGTTGCATGAGAAGCCGGTTGTTCCTTGAGAGGCAGTATGCAAGACGTCTTTGATGTAGTCAAAGTAAAGACCAGACATTAAGCTCCCCTCCCGATAGTGACACTGGAAGACTTGCATCGCTGTTTCCTGGGGGATCAGATGACAGCAAGCAATCCTAAAATAACTCAACTACGCAATTAAATTGTCAAAAATATTGTGTACTTGTTTCAGACTTGTGTGTTTAGCTGCTAATTACTTACCAGTTCCTCGTGGTCAAAGGTGAAGCGTAAACTCTTCAGCATGGCAATGAAGACAAGTATGTTTTCTTTGTTGGAGGAGATGGCACCGAACATGTTGGCCAGCTTCCGAAGACTTTGCTCCAAAGGATAGATATTTAAAACCACCCAGCACGTGCCAGCCTGGAGATGTAGGTGCAAAAGAAATCAACATCCTTTGTTTAGTATTAATGTGCATATAACTGTTCCAAGTTATTTCTGCATTCACTTCTTCATACATACCACTTCTTTGGGAATGTAACTTAGGGGAATCTCATAATCAGAAGGGATATTCTGCTTCTACAATGGAAATAATGACAGAGGACGATTTGCGCCACATAATATCAGTGATCCATCAAGATCCATTTCTTTGCATATACACATACCAGAAGGTCATGTGACAAATAACATGAAAGTGATATATGAATGTGATGTATATCGAACCTGTAGTCTCAGTAATCTCACCAATATTGACAGCTTGCTCACATCATCAGTTATCGGTGTCCCAAATTTTCCGGAGCAGAGATTCAAACTTGTGAACAGACTCAAGAGGAGACAAGGTGCTTTCAAGATCTGAAGGGCAAAAAGAAAAGTCCATGTTAACAACATACAGTGTATTTACAGTACATCAGGTATAATATACTGTATTTATTATAGTTGACTTTCTTTCAAAATAACTACAATGTCTTCACATTCGTTTGCAGTTAGTCTTCACATTGGTTTGATTGTTTTCTTGTTTTCTAAAATGCTGGACATCATGCAACTAGACATTTCTGCTTCTGCAATATTCTTTGTCATATATGTCAGTACATTGGATACCTCCAATTGGACTGTTAGTAAGACAAAGCGAGCAAAGTGAAGGCATCACTTTGGACCACTCAGAAATTGTGAATGGCATTTTTTCATTTCAACATTCATTTCAGTGTTTTTATCAAGAACAATTAATAAAGAAAATAATCAGCATATTTACTGACAATACAAAAAATGATTGTTAGTTCCAGTCCAAATCAAAAAATTCAAAACCACTTTAGCATATGCAATGTAACTAAGTCACATTTATGGAACTTTACGTGATTCTTTGCTACTTTGAGGATTTTTGATTTGAAATGCACAATGAGCACAAATTGTCAGACTTCAAAGCTGCCAGTGTGACAGGCAGGAATGTGTTTTGCTTCCATAGAATTGTTATTCTCATAAAAAAAATATTTTCCAGCAGCAGAATGTAGTGAATGTGGAGCTTTACTTCTGGGAGACCATGCATGTGCTTAGCTTCCTTGTCTAATATATTGAGTGAAAGCTAACCGTCTCCTTTTACACTTCCTTTTAAAAGGATGCAACACCAGCAGTGTATGGAGCACTTACTGTAGACCTCTTAACAGAGTAAAATACTGCAACACTAATGTAACTGTTAAAGGAAGTGTTGTTCATCATAAGTACTTTTATTTTTCATGCTCAACTCAATTTCTAAGTACAGGATGATTACTTAATTGTAGTATTTATACTTTTAGTTAAGGATTTGAATACCTTTTCATCATTTTTACTAAAATTCATCAAATCAGTGAGATCCTGTGTCATCAGACAATTGTATCTCTTTGCAAGAATAAAGCTGACATGGCAAATAATCTTTCTCTAAATACAAATATTCTGCTAATTAGCAAGCACAACACGTGATAATTAAGCTATAGGATATAGCTGCATCAGTTTGTACACTTACAACACACAATTACCAACCATTTGTGTAAAATAACAGGATTAAAAGAAATTCTACTACTTACTTTCTTCCTCATATGGAGCAAGAATCCGTGGTTGCTCAAATTCAGTGCATGAAATGGAGTGTTTTCAGTTCAAAGACAGAGCTCATTCTGTGTGTGATGTCCAAGCCTGTAGTAAAACTTGAGGATGGGCTGGCAGTCTGCTTTCACTCCAGACAGACTGGTGAAGTCTTTTGACGTGGTGGTGAGACCGCCTACAGGCTGAGTCACTGTGTCACACACTGATGCCGCTTGAGACTTTTCCATAAACTCCCACGTATCAATTCTGTACGTCAGGAGAAAGTGGGTGCTTATTCTCTTGAGGGGAATATTTTGCTTAGAATATGTCATGTTTATTGGCCAAGCTGTTGTTTAGAAAGTGACAAAAAGATGATGAGAGGTCTTTGTTAATGTTGGAAGGTTTGCTGGATTGCTAGAGTGAGTGTGTAGATGTGCAAAAAGGGCTGTTGCATAATGCATAATATACGCATGAATTGATTATTGATTCACATTGTCAAATCAATACCAGTCACAAAGGAGATTGAGGAAAAAAGAAGCAGATGTGTTAGAAATGATGAACAACCTTTGAGATAACTGTTGTGTGGAATGTGGGAATGTGCATCAACAATAGTAAGAATATGCTGTACATTTAATGCTCTGCACTTAAAGCATGATATGGTAAATGGACTGTACTTGTTTCTAGCAATTAGGGGTTTTGGGGGCATCTTGCCTAAGGATACTTTGACATGCAGACTCAGGGAGCCGGGAGTCAAACCACCAACCTTCTGGTAAGTAGATGACAACTCTACCCCCTGAGTCACAGCCGGTAGGTACACACAAATATGTTATATGTATTTTCATCTGATTAAATTACCTCATGTAAGTCACAGCCTAGCAATCAGGGAAGGAGTACTTATTTCACTGGAGTTGGAAGTGAAACAAAGTGTGACATGCACACTCTGGGTTATATTTAGACCTGCTTCAGACCACCTGACCACAAACAGCTAGGACCCCACAAAACAAAAACACACGGGCTGCAAGATTCAGATCCCTGAGGTGAGACAGATTCATGTGACTAATATAATATGTAACTTAATTTTGTGGTGTTATCTCAGGTATGACAGATTTATACAAATGTACTCACATATATGACACCACTTCCAGCATGAACAGGGTCAATATGTACTAGCAGCACTTTACTGATAAACAACTTGCATGCCTGCAGCCATGGACAGAGTACAGACATGTGACTTTAATATGCTATATGTTAGAAGCACACGCAACTTAATTTTGTGCTTTTTTTATGACAATATATGATTCAGGGCAAAGAGCCTCAGTGTTTACAGGAAAACTCATGCTTGTCGTAGTGTGCTTTGATATAGAAATGGGTGACTTTGAAGAGGAAGGCATAGATGAGGAACTTATGGAGTTTGCCATTCGAGAGAGCTTTCGGGATGCCTACAAGCTGCCATGTTCAATACACACAAACAGGTATGCGAAAGATCAACTTATCTACATGAAAAAATAAAATATGGAAAGATTATGGTAAATTGTCATTCAGGATTGAAAGAATTAATTTGAGGGTAATCAAGTCAAACATTGTTGTTCCTAGAGTAGAATCTTTAATTTGACCCACTATTTGGTTCATTAGGAAGGAGCCAAACAGTGATGACTTTATGAAGATAATGGCAGCGATTCACAAAGGTAAGGTTCCTGTTTAACTCTGTCTGTGGTGTTAGAGTAGTTCAAATAAATCATGTCGAGGTCCATGAATATTAGAAATGGTTCCCTGCGTGTCTTGCATGGGTCTTGGTTGTGTCTTCACAGGTGATGTGTATGCGCTGCAGGAGCTGTCAGGTTGTGTGTCTGCCTTCAGACAGAGGGACAGCAAGGGCCGGCTGCCTCTGCACGCAGCAGCTGTGCAGCCACAGCGAGACATCCTACGTGTGGTGCTGCAGGGTGAGAGCTCCGTGCTACAGGCTGGGTGTAAAGTCTAAAAGAAAAGGGCATGTAGCATCTGCAATTCGATGAGACCATTTTAGATGTAAGTGAGAACACATGGAGAAGTAGAGTGTGTTTATTTCCAACTTTAACACACTCTGTACTATTGGTGTTTTTGTAGCAATGTTGACGTCTACAGACCTGACCCTGGAGGAGCAGACAGACGATGGGGACACGTCCCTGACTCTGGCAGCAGAGGCTGGCCTGGTGAAAAACGTAACGATGCTGCTGCAGCATGGAGCTTCACCACACAACACCAACAGCAGGAATGAGTCTCCTCTGCTGATCGGTAACACACACAAACTCAACACAAGGCAGACAAATCACGGTGCCAGTCACTTACTCAGTCCCTCATAAACAGCACACTCTGTAACAGGATTATTAATACATTACTTCCATTTCACATAAATGTATTGTTACGAAAGACTTAATGTCAATTCAGTGAATCCTTTACAAATTGGCTATTATCATTCATAAATTAAACTTTTTTAAATTAAGCTTTTGAGTTTGTCAGGTTGTACACCTATATTTAAGATGAATCTCTTTGCTTAGTGTTTATCATCTCATGTTACTATTGTAGGTTGCTTGTCTGCTTGAGCTACTTATTAAATTATTCACTTTACAATGAGCTATGAAGCTTGCAGTGACAAATGTTAGCAGCCTAAGTCATAAAAAAAATACTTTGTTTTTAATGCTAACATGTTACACATGTAAACATTAAACCTGCTTAGCACCAGCGTGTTAGCATTGTCATTGTGAGTAGGGTTAGCATGCTGACACGCTAAACTAAGACGGTGAACATGGTAAACATTATACCTGCATACATGTTAACATCGTCTTTGTGAGCATGTTAGCATGCTGATGATAGTATTTAGGCCAAAGCACAGCTGTTCCTAAATGCAGCCTCACAGAGCTGCTAGCATGGCTGTAGTCAAGTTAAAACATCTGCTGTAATCATTAGCCTAATAATATAGTGTAATAAATCCTTTGTGTATATTAAATCCATCAGTGTGGCTTTTTAATGTATCGCTTTGTATTCTCTACAATTTATAGCAGTGAGACAGAGATCATACGACATGGTTCTATCCCTCATCATGGGTGGGGCCTTTGTGGAGCAGGTGTGCCTCACTAAGTGGACGGCCACACATGAAGCGGCAAAGGTGAACAGAGAGGCGCTGAAAGTGACTAGAGCATGAGCGAATAAGAGCTCAACATCCAGGCTAAATTTCACATTTTCTCCTTCCTCCTTCTCTGCCATCTTTACTTCCTTCTTTATGTCCTTTCTTCCTATCTCCTGCAGCAGGTGGGCTGTCCAGCTATTCTGATGCTGCTGCTTCGACACGGAGCCAAAGTAACTGCCAGAGACGGTCATGGGGTGACTCCTCTGGGGATCGCAGCTGCATATGGCAACACTGAAGCTTTGGAAATACTCATACAGCATGGTAAAACACTAAAATACTGTGTACTTTACTCCCATCTGTCGAGTAATAACGATTGTTCACCAACAATTGTTCTCACTCCTCAGAACTTGTTGTACTCTCCCTATGCTCCACTAGGTGGTGACGTGAACGCCAAGGCCAGCAATGGAGACACAGTCCTGTATGATGCAGCTGGATCTGGAAACCTGGACAGTATCGAGCTACTCCTGCAGCACGGAGCCAACCCGAATGTAGCCAGCTATGCCTGCCAGCTGCCCATCCACAGGGCTGCATATGAGGGACACATACTGTGAGCTGACCTCCATGTCCTGAAGCCGCGTGATTGTGCACTGACCTGGATGCAAAAGAGCACCCTATCAGCCTGACGCACCAGATATGGCAACATTCTCATGCCAAAACCTTGAGTTTTAAAAGACAATCCAGTTCCAGAAAGACATTACTGGAGACAAATTAACATTCTTTTCCTCCTATTTTGCAGCCAAATTGATCAAACTAAAGACTGTCTCTCTCTGCACCTCACAGTCACTGCAATCATTTCCACAAAGAGCCTTCTGTTTATCACTGTTTTTCAGTTCCGTCACTGAACAACACTGTAGCTCAAACCACAATCTAATGAACATTTTTCTGTGTCCTATGTCCTGTTTTCGTCTTTTAGCATTTGTTTTTCACTGCTTCTGTCCCTCACTCTCTTCCTGTTTGACCCAACCCCCCCCATCTCTGTCTTTGTAGAGCCCTGAGGACTCTCATCCCCATCACCACAAAGAGAGCTATCCGTCTCTCAGGCCAGAACCCCGTCCACTCAGCAGCTGACGGGGGACAGGTTGAGTGTCTGCAGCTGCTTATCGAGAAAGGATATGATGTCAATGCCTTGCTAGACACACACATCTCTGGTATTCTAAACTCTTTCACACTCAGACATACTCAAAAACATTTGAATTTTTAAATACAGATGGCTTTTAGAAAGTTTATAGCGTCCCTAAATGCACCACATCTGACACGTTTTGAAAGGTCACTTCTTGCAATATCATTACCAACTGTGACCAAACAATAAAGATGACTAATTGTTCACTGTGATGGTTTAATGCCTATAAGTTGATTTTACTGCATTAGTGTAATAAATGGAAACCAGTAGATTTCTAAAAAGTTGTGTTTTATGAATGTTTCTTGTAGATGGTAAGTTAAACTACATTCAAACCACTGGCAAAGTCTGTCTTTTAAAGTGGCCGTAGGCAGCATATCCTCTGCTTGAATGTAAATCTTGTTGCAGAGAACTACGGCGACCTCAGGAAGTCTCCTCTGTACTTTGCTGTTTCCAACGGTGATGTGACCTGCGCTGAGATGCTGCTTGCAGCTGGAGCGAGAACTGACCTAGACCCACTACGGTGCATCCTGGTCGCTATACGCGCTGAGAGGTGCGCGGCACACATATGTGTGTATTCATTATCACTTATGTCGTGGCGGCAAGGTTGTGTTGCAGTAACCTTTAATGTCTCTGTTTTGGCCATTTCCAGATATGAGCTGGTGCAGCTGCTGCTCTCCTATGGAGCGGAGGTGAATTGTTACTTCAGAGTGATCAGCAACACACTGTTCCCCACAACCCTGCAGTACAGCCTGAGGGACCATGTCATGCTGCGACTGCTGCTCAACAATGGATTTCATGCTTACAAGTATGTCTAGAAACTGTCAAATGAAAAATTCTAACATATCTGATTTCAGTGTAGCAAATGTGCAATCTAATGTTTAGGAATTTGGGTAAAACAGTCAAACACTGACATTGAATAAAAATAATTAGGGGGTAATCTATAACATTTTAACATTTCATCTGTCTCTGGTAGATGTTTCCAGTGTTGTCATGGTAAAGGTGAAGACATGGATGGTATCTGGACTGAAGTCCATAACCAAGCCTACCAAATTTACAGTCAACCTAACGTCATCTCGGTAAGAACCAATTTTGCCATCTATATGAATCTGCTGTAGACTCCATAATAATCAAGAATAATACAGAGTGGAACTCCAGTGGGGTTGACTACACAGACACACACAATGATAGCAGTCAGTTTATTGTGCCGATCAATCAACCAATCAATGAGCCAACATGTACAATAAATCACATCCCTGATTTTTCCTCGTTCAGTTCTGTGACTTTGTGTCGGTATCATGGGTGACACATCTGGTTGGCAGTGTTGTGAGGATGCTCCTCGACTACGTCAGCCATGTCAGCATCTGTCCCAACCTCAGTCGCATCCTAGAGAGGACGCCCGAGTGGGAGGAGATTTCTGACATACTGAGTAAACCTTTATATCCATACATGGTATTTAAAAAAAAAAGATCCACGATGTTAAGAATGTTTTAAGTAACTAGAGACTTTATGTCCCCAGGCAAACCACGGTCCCTGCAGCACTTGTGTCGACTGGTAATCAGAGCTCACATGAGCCTCAGGATGCTGAATGACCCTGAAGCCATGGCTGCTGTCCCTTTTCCTCCAAGACTGAAGAAATACCTGACCTACGGAGAGAACGACTTCTTTGGTGACCTCTCCTCTACGTGAAACACATTTTATTTATACCTGTGTAATTGAAACTAATGAAGCTAAAAACACTAGTCATTCTTTAAAAAATTACCAGTGGGTCCTTTTGTATTCCATTTGTTAAGTTTTATATGTTAAAAGCTGGAGTGCCTTAGTAGAATATTCTTGATATACTGCTTAAATTCTAGAAAACAATAGTGAATAGTTAATAGAGCTGAAAAGTGAATGTATAGCATATGAACAGTGTTGGAGAGTAACTAGTTACATGTATGTGCGTTACGTAATTTAATCACAAAATAAACTGTAATCCATTACAGTTACTGGAAAAAATGTGCAATGTAATTACAGTATTATACAGTAAGTTTTATAGTTACCTATAAAACTTTAAAGATTACATTGGGGGTTACATCTGAATATTTTCTGTAAAAAAGCTTGTCTATATGCTGAATAAGGTGCACAGTGCTTTCCTTTGCCATTTCCAGCCTTTAGTAAAGTTTGATGCTATTCTGATGCTTTTGATCCCAGTTAAATTGTCTCTTAAACTGTTGGAGAGTTGCCACCATGTCTACAGATAAAAACAGGTTCCAGTGCTGGAAACAAAATAAAAAACAGTTCATACAGAAATCAGAAAAGGGTTCGAACATAATGCAATGCAAAATATGTTTAAAATGCTTTCAACATTGAAAATATCCATATGCCAAGATCTGCAGGTACATTATAGCTTACAGTAACTGCAAGCAGTCAGATTACATAAAGTAGGGACATGCATAAGACATGCCTACCTCTCGCGTGCCACACCATGCTTCTAATGTGTATTAAAGACGTATTTTTGCTCCATATTTTGCTTAGTGCATATCCAGGATTTTGAAGTCTGACTTTGTGGTGGCTGTTCTTCAAAAGTTAATTATTATAATCTTAATTCATGTGATGAAGGATTTCAAAAAGAGTTTGACAGTAGTCAGTGTTGAGTACTGCTGTAAGGTTAACACTGCCAGGTTTAAACACATTAGGAATTTAGAAAAGTAATCACAATGTAATAAGTTACATTGATAAAGTAATTTAAAAAGTTACACTACTATTACATTTTAAATAGGGTAATTTGTAATCAGTAACCTATTACATTTTCAAAGTAACCTTCCCAGCACAGCATATGAAATAGATGTCTCACAAATCTTCAGTGTCTTGTACACCCACACAGGTGTTTTCACTTGTTGCTAATTAGACCTCTGCTTATGGAGAGGTTGGGCAGGGAATTGTAAGAGGTCTCCAAACTGCATCAACCAAACTGCAACTTTAGGTGTAAGTAGTCCCACCCTAACAGGTGCAATGGAGTGTAAAAGAAATGTGTGTACATGCCCACACAGTACTGACAAGAGGTCTAATCAGGCAGGTTAGGTGAAAATGCCTGTGTGGGTGGATACAGTTATTCTCACTTTGGTGCTGGCTTTAAGTGTAAACACTGTGTATGTTCAATATGGTGTTTGAAAATGTAAAATATAATAGCACTGTTACTCTAACATGGATTTGTTTGTTTGTTTGTATATTTGTAAAAGGGGTTTTGTTCTCTTTGTTATTAATGCATTCTGTGCTGAGCCTGGCTGAGCGTAACCACAACTTGTCACAACAGCAGGTTAGCTGAGCTGTTTACAAGCCTGTAATAATATCAGCATAATTCCTTCTCAAAATGATCCAATGCTGCACACTGATCCCACACTTTGTTATCCATTTGAATAGTCAGATAAGTTGAGTATTTAGTATACAGCCAAGCTAACTGCTCTGTGAGGCTTTATTAGACAAATGAGAAAAACACTACATATCTCTTCCCATAACTTAGTCCTGAAATGTATTATTCATGATCTATAGCAAAAACTCAAATCACATCCATAAACCTATCTTCTATGTCCTTGCCTCCATATGTATCTGCTATGTTATGGGAGTTTTAAAGTCATCCAGACTGATAATACCACAGGAGGACGTACTGACACATCTTTGCTGATGGACATTCATTGATCGACCCTGTGCCATTTTTTAGGCCAAACATTAGCTCTGCTTTTCTCTCTCTTCTCTTTTTGTTCTGTTGTGTTGGGTCCAGTTGGTCTTTTTTTAGCCATGAACAAAGCCACTCAGGCCGTGGTGACAGGCTGCTACGTTGACAGGCCACAGTCTCTGAGCTCACATGCTTTTTGTGGCTCTGTCTATAAGAGAGGTGCCTCCCAAAAAAAGATGCTGCATCATGGAGCCCACACTTTGGTACGTTCCCTTCTGATCCCTCTCTTAAGGCCTAAACAGCAGCTGGGGAGATTAGAGAGGAGAGGACACCGACACACACACATAGACCCTTCCTCACAGCAACAAGGCCGGCCAGGATAAATCCGGTTCAGACTGGAATGGGCTCTCATCAGAAGCACCTTTGACTGGATCCAGTATGTCCAAACACCTTCAGCCGACAAAGGATCACCTCGACTGGACTCTGAATTTTTAATCACCTCTTATGTACGCGGATCTGCAGCAACCTCACATTGGAACTTGTCTTTTGTTGGGACCTCTATTCCCACACAGCTTCATTTTGGGGTCCAGACTGAATCTCGTGCAACTCAAGAACTGGTCCTTCTGGTGGTAGTTTAGACTCACTTTAGACACTGACTGGTCTGTACTAATCTTGCCATGAGCTGTTTTGGGTACCGTCGAGAGCTGAGCAAGTACGAAGATGTTGACGAGGACGAGCTTTTGGCTTCCCTCAGCCCTGAAGAGCTGGCTGAGTTGGAAAAGGAGCTGGCGGACATTGATCCTGACGACAACGTGCCCATAGGACTCAGACAGAGAGACCAGACGGACAAGACCCCGACGGGTACTTTCAGCAGAGAGGCCCTCATGAAGTATTGGGAAAACGAGACGCGTAGACTGTTGGAGGATGAGATAGGTGGAGGGAGCCCAAAACTGGTCAGTGATGACATTTGATTATATTTGCTTGGCATTAGTACACTGTGCAAGAGACAAAGCCAGCTTGTTTGAAGTTGTTTATATGGAACACATTGACATAGAACCAAATAAAGCTAAAAGTTCTTTAGAAGAAGTTATTTAAAGTACTAAAAGAAAACCACTCATTCTTTCACAGTTGCCTTAAAACCAGCTGCGTTAATTTAGTTTAAAATGATACTTTTAAGAAAAGTAAACATTGCTTTTCAAACGCTGAATAATTTAATCAAAATACAGGATGAAGAACAAGAGGAGTGTGTGACAGAAGAAAACAGCGGAGCAGAGGATGAAAAAGATGTTGAAAATGAGAAAGAACCAAAGTATGAAGAACAAAAGGAGAATGAAGAAGAAGAGGAGGAGGAGGATGAAGAGGAGGAGGAGAGTGAGGAAGAGGAGGAAGCTGAAACAGAGGAGGAGGAAAATGAGGAGGAACAAGATAATCAATTAAAACCTGAACCATCAACGAATTCTGGGGTGCTGACGTCAACAGCCGACACCCCGATGCTACTGAAGCCGCAGAGGGTGGACCCTATGAGACTGACTCCTCCCCCTCCACCTGCTGATCCAAACGTGACCGGAAACCCAACCGTTGTAGATGAAGCTCTCCAGCGAGCTCTTCGCAACGACCCTGAACTCACAGAAGTTAATCTCAACAACATTGATGATATCTCACAGGTACAAATACAGATACATGCTGTTAAAGGTTTCTTTACATCTGTAATATGTGTAAAGAAAGGCCTGCCTTTATATTTAAAGGTACAGTGTGTAAGATATGACCAGAATTTTAGATTAAAACATAAAAAAGACCTAAAATTATCAAGAGAATATGAAGAAGTTTTGGCAAAGACGCCTATGTATTGTGTTGCAGAGATATCTACTGAAGTTAGCATGCTAACCAGCTAGCCCTGGCCCGTACTGTCTCATAAGGCATCATAAAACACACTTCATTCAAACTCGACAGAAACAGAATAAAAATCACCAAAACCGTCTTGGTTAGTCTTTCCACTGTTCCAACAATCACCAACTCTGCCCGACTTGCCACTTGCTCCTCTCCCGCTTGCAGCTGCTGAAAAAAAATCAGCTTGTTACTCTATTGTTGTAAAAATGGCGTCCGTCTGTTTCGGAGGCTGTGTTTGGTCCCAGTCAGCTAATACGACCGCTCAGTTAGCTGCACGGCTAACTGAGGTAACAGCAGTTATGACCTGATATGCTGGTATGTGATATGCTGCCACCCGTTGTTTTTGTAGCATGAATTCAGCTAGAGAGAGAGTAGTCTCAATTCTTACATATTGTACCTTTAACTATGTCAAACACATACAATCAAACAGCTCAGAATATACAACGTCCTTGATCAAGATAAAAAAATCCACTGTTTCGTCAAAAGAGTAGCTTAACTATGAGTTTTGAAGTGTCGTTTGAGTTTGGATGCTTGCTAGCATTCCTGCTCTTTACTGTTGAGTAACTTTTGATTGTATGACAGCTTATTTTCAGAACCAGGCATCTTGCCATGGTTATGTAATGAAGGGCATAGTTACATATTTGCTACAAACTCTGTGACTGGAAAATTAACAAAAGATGGTGTCCTCAATTAACAGACTTGACAAGGTTTCTGATTTCTGTAAGGACCTGTGTTCTACTCAGTAGCAAGTTGTAGCTGAGAAGGTTATTTTACCTCTTTTAGTACTATGTGTAGGGCTGCTTGGAAAATTGGGCGCTAACCCCTTGTGCCAGTTGCCTGTGTCGACTTGGTAAACACTGGGACACCTTACTGAAGTGTTAGGGGTGAGGGGTCAGTGATGCTCTGACCTCAATGTGGTGGTGAGAAGTTCTCTATGTTCTGGAAAATATAAACACCCCGGTTTATTTCTTAGGAAACCCTCATCCGATTTTCTGAAGCATTGAGGTCCAACACACACGTGCGGGTCTTCAGCCTTGCAAACACCCGAGCCGATGACCCTGTGGCTCTGGCCATTTCTAAGATGCTGAGGGAGAACTCGTCCATCACCAGTGTGAATATAGAGTCCAACTATGTGACTGGAAAAGGCGTGATGGCGCTGGTTCAAGCACTTCCAGGAAACAACACCCTGACTGAGCTTCGGTTCCACAACCAGAGACACATGTGTGGAGGACAGGTTAGCTCGCCTCTCTCCCTTCCCATTTTGTCTCAACCAAGCTAATCTTCACGAAGCAACCATGTGTCTCCCCTAATCAAACTCCCCCCCGCAGGTAGAGATGGAGATGGTGAAGATTCTGAGGGAAAACTACACCTTGATCAAGCTGGGCTACCAGTTCAACCTGCCTGGTCCCAGGATGAGCATGACGGGGATCCTCACCAGAAACCAGGACCGCCAGAGACAGAAACGGCTGCAGGAGCAGAGGCAGCAGGGCCAACAGGGGGGCTCAGAGGGAGCTGTTAACCCCAGAACCACTGCACTGGTATGCAAATTTTTCAATTGGTCTGGCTGGACGGTGTCAGAGACGTGGTGTCCTACTGGCCGACTATTGCGTTCTGCTTCTCTTTTGTTCTCAATTACTATTTTCAAAGTCCCCATCTCTGTGATAAATAGTGACAAGGTCATCAGCTAACAAGCTGTATGCTAAAGATGTACAACTTTGACATATATTATATATGGTAGGCGTACTTGATTAATCCATTAGATTTTTAACCACAGAATACTAGTAATCGTCCACACATTTCTAGTGACTTTATCTATTTGCTCTAAACAAGAACACATTTTTAAAATCACCATACATCTCACCCAGTCTCTATATCATACATCAACTGACACTGACACATTTTTACTCTTTCACCAACCGTTCAGCTACTTAAACTGCTTTCACTGCTTTCTTGTCAAATACAATTTCAACTTTTTTATTGCTTACTTGTCAAATGACATTTCAACTGCTTTCATTGTTTAGGCACTGACTGGTATTTCAGCTGCTTTCACATCTTTACTCTTCAGCTGACAGTTCACCTGCTTTCAGTGCTTACTTGCCACAGAGCATTTAAACTGCTTTCGTTGTTGATGTCTAAACAGCTGACATTTCGGCTGCTTTCACCTCTTCAACAGCTGGTTCATCTACTTTCAGTGTTTACATTGACAACTCAAAAAGAATTCAAAAGCTTTTCATATACTACAACTACTACTTTCAGCATAAGCATAAGCCTTTATTATATAAATGTATTATAATAATCCCTTTCCCTCTCTCTATGGCTAGAAAGGAACTCCTCGTTCATCACCTTACAGCTCACCCAGAGGCTCCCCTTGGTCCTCACCCAAACTCCCCCGGAGTGACCTGGCTAAAAAACAGACTCCTCCTGCTCCACCTCCTCCTCCACCTCCACCGCCTCCTCCTCCCCTACCACCTCCCCCACCTCCTCTTCCGCAGCGGGAGAAGAAGCCCACTAGGATGATTGCGGAGGTCATCAAGGCACACGAGGCGGGCAGCAAGACGGTGAGAAAGACAAAAGGTAAGAAGAGCAAGAAGGGGAAGGAGAAGGAGTTGGGAAAGGATGAGACAAGTAGCATCCTGAAGGAGCTCAAAAATGCACTGAGGCCCACGTCGGTGGATAGGAGAGGGGAGGAGGGCAGCAGGCCGTCCACACCATTGAGGTCAGCCCACGACCAGCTGATGGAGTCCATCCGCAACAGCAGCATCCGCTGCTTGAAACGGGTGAGTGGAAGGAACAACAATATGGATTTAAATTATGATTTTAATATGATGGTCAAAATATGCTGTTTTTTTTTTTTTTTACTTCATATCATGTTATCTTGTTTTATCAGTGATATTGTGGTAAATACTGTGTTACAGTGAAGTTGGGTTATTTAGAAATGTATTGAGTGAACAGTGGCAAAAAAGCATTCCTCCTCCACAAGCAGTCGAGCAATGTACTTAATGCGAAACTGCAGAGTCCCTCTACAGCCAAACTGAACAAATAGGAAGTTTTATTTAGATAAGGATGGCACAGAGTCAGTGGTGTCTGAGTCATCTCTGTGGTAATGGTATGTTCTGTCTCTACACTGGGGTAGGCAGGCAAAAGGCTACCACCAGCCAGCACTGTGGTATGATCACACTGCTTTTACGGCCAGAGAGAGAGAACCATTAAGGCCAAAATATAGCCAATAATATCATCCAAGCCAGTCAAGTATTCTCACCCTGAAGAGGAAGATCAGCTGAGGATGAAAAAACAATGAGACAAACAAATAAGAGAGCATTCAGGATTATCTCATTAATTTTTTGACATTATTTGACATTATATTACTGTTAGAGTAAAGGAAATGTGTTTTTCTGTTATTAGTACGATTGCTTGCTATTCTTCTCATCCAGAAGACAGACAAGTATTACCTTGGCTGAAGCTTTAGCACAGCTTGAAACATTGTTAGAGTGGAAAGTCAGCTCTGCCCTCAGATGGTGGGGTCTCCTAGCTGTGAAATTCTTGCCACTTAGCGAAGGTATTTATAGAAACTGTTCAGTGGAGCTTTCATAAGGACAGATATGACACGTTACCACAGCATGAACCAACAACACACATTCAACAACACAGCCCACTAACAGTTCATCTGTTGACGCCACTGAGGACATTACACACAGATTTGATATCCAGTTTTGCAAGCATATTAAGAAAACTTAAGAGTAGCCCATGCACATGATTATATTGAATAACACATTGCCTATATGTGACTATATTACAGACGTGAAAGTAAATCTCCTCATCTAGCTCTTGTCAAGAAAGCATATTTCCTAAAGTATGAAACAATTTCTTTAACTTGCTCAAACATTTGTTACTGTGTTGCAACAGGAAGTTAAAGTTGTAGTCTGGCTAGTGTACACTGCCAACAACCAGAACAACGAGCCACTATAAATTTGCAGTACTCCTTTAATGAAAAGAAGCGGTTTGACAGGAAGTGTGGTTTGAAAACTACATTCTTTTACCCATGGCTCAGAAGTCATAATTGCTAACTTTCTGATGTTACTCAGCCATGACCACTGACTCATGTCCATTCCTATCTTTACTGCCACCATCGTATTTCTCAAAAAGCATTAATAAAATATTTCTATGGCCTGCACTTAAAACTGATATAGCACTGTCATTTTCCAGGTGGAAGTCCCACATCATCTACGATAATACAAGCAGAAATAAAAAAGGTCTATCCGTTGCCACTGAAATCGGGGAGTCAGTATAATGACACGATGGAGTGACCAACAATGATGGATGATGACATCTAAGAAGGCAAAAACTGAATTCTTTCTCATGAAAAAGAATAGCTTTACATTTATGAATTTTTAAGCTTTTGAGTTTTTTATTTATGCATAATTGAAAATGGTATTTGTATTTTGTTTTTGAAAAGAGTTGAATGAACTGTTTACCGATACGTTTTCTAATTCACTGTTTTCTTGTAAAATTGTAAATATGATCTGTTGTTGGTTGAATTTCTAAATATAGCTATTTGGTGTTTACAATACTACTTGTCAAAGTATGTCGTGACTGATGACTGTTTTCTCATTCTTCGGTTACTGGATGAGTTCCATCTGAAAGAAAAGGGCTAAGCTGTTATGCAGCAGTATAGGAAGAACACAGCCTCTGTTTTTCAGTTTTACCAGTGAGTCAGCTTACTGGTCAAGCACTGCTGATGCATAGTCCCCTCCAGCACGCTCACAATACACCCACACCCCATGTAGCACGTATTTGAGCTGGGCTTTTGCGCACAATTCACACTGCATGACAAGCCGAGGAAAAGAATAGAAATAGAAATATAGCTACTAGTTCATCAAAGAAGACATCAGAGAGGAGACGTCAACTTTTAACAAGAGTCACAAGATCAAATACAAAGCTGTGGGCTACTTAAAAGCTGCACTCCACAATGCCTTCAAAGGGAGCCTATCTCACTTTTGAAAGAGAAAATAACACACTTCCTCTTAAAAATGGAAAGTTTAATTTATAAGCAGTTAAACACACCTTTGCTCAGTTCAATACACTGACGGGATTTGCAGCAACAGCCTTACTTATTCTGGTATGACCAGTAGTTTAGGGTGACTAATGTTAGCAAACATATTACTTTGTAACTGACATGACGGAGCAAATATGCCAACTTAATGACTCCTTTATCCCATGATTGTCACTTAGGCTTTGTTTAAGTGAGGTAAAGTAACAGACCTCTTTCATAAATTTTTTTAAAGCGAGCAAATGTAACTTTTGCCGAAAAGCCTCCACTATGGGATAATGCTAATGCTAACACGGCAACAGAAGAAGAAATATAGAAAACTAAACAAAATGTTCATTATAGTGATAATATCTACCAAAAGCTTGATAACAGTGGTAAATGTTAGCCACCATAAGCTACTGGTTTTGTTGGTGAATTAAACTTTTCATTTTTAAGAGTCTTGCTTTAAATACAAAATTAAAATGTGACCTTCATCAATAACCAGGTTGAAATGTCAAGTAAAAAGTTATAGGTACCATACAAAACTATTCTGGACTCATTCTGGGTCTCTGGGATTACAAAAAAATGGACTAGAACTGAAGGATTTAGCTAATTAAGAGATGGGGATGCTTGTTCCGGAGAGACATATAGTCATGACTTAAAGGGAGGGAGAGACGGACAAACAGAGAGGCGACATGTTGGGAAGGAGAGACCAAGAGCATGTGAGGGGGGGATGACAGATGAGAGAATGAAAGCAAGAGACTGAGAGATGTGAGCTATTAGCGTCCTAATCCTGGTCCTTGATTTGTTTGTTTCCTGGAAGACTTCCCTGACTCCTAAATCCAGAGTGCAGCTGTTCGAAGCCAACACGGTCAGGGGCTCAGGTGTGGCAACAACAAGAAAACTACAAATTATTATCATTATTGCAAACCATTTCTCAAAGCACACCAGGAGTTTTTAAGAGTGATTTCCATTTTAAAGGCATTCCATGAATTTGTGTTGTACAAAAAAAAGTCCTTATTAGAAAGGTGACAATTGTACTGGGATGGTATTGAAAAATTGGCAATTCTTAAATAATAATGTGTGGTAATTGTGGCAACTGAAAGCATAGATTATTTTCCTGGTTTGCAGAAGACCAGAAATTTGACCAGGCCGGATCTAATCCACTCTTTCAACTACAGTAACATGCAATGATATAACTTTTCCATAACAAAGAAAGGAAAAAACTGATATAAATATAAGCGCACACAAACACACACACACAAAGTTACAGGAAAAGGTATGTTGCAGGCTCCTATGCCAAAAAATAGTCTCCTCAATTGCCTTTCCAAGGACCGGAGTTCAGTGTGCACACTGCAATCCATAGGCTAAGTGTCCTAAGAATAAAACTTCCTCTACTCAAGCACAGCACTTTGTCATATGTCAAACTGTCAATAGGGGGATGCTTCCATAAAATGTTGGGATTTCCTGTCTCTGCACTCAGGGTGGTCACTGCATTATTCTCATTTAGAATTCTTTACAGGATGGACAGATGTCTCCATGCACCATACAGAAATGTAATGGTCAGTCTGATACTCAACAAAATTGTTGTATGCAAGTTTGCATGTATTTCTGTAACACTGAACCACAGAATAATAAAGTGTTTCAGTCACAACACTGAGGTCCTTTGACCTTTGCATTCCTTTGCAATGTATGCATGCAGTGTTGCTGACTTACAAATTAAAACTATTCTACAGTGCTAAATTCCTTAAATGCAAATCTAGCTCCAAGTGCATTAAAGGAGCAAATATTCTATTTGTGATTTTCTACTCAGCTAAGGTCAGGGAATTGGACATCTGGTTGCATTATACTTAACTAAAATCATCTGATCATGCTTCATTTTTTGTAAAATGTACATTTTCTATGCTATTTATAAAAAATTAATAGCCCCTTTTTTAATTCTCAAAAACTCCTTGTACAGAAAAATAAATTTATGTATCATGTAATATTGTACAACCTTTCAAAAGTCAAGTAGTGCTCTGTCGCTTTTATAAATGCTTTTGTTCGAGTGCGCACGTGTTGGTTTGGGTCCCCAATGGAAGCACTGTATCCTAGTAGTGCTGCCACCCTAGTGGAAAGTGATACCTGCTCTAATTGCTTGCATTAGCTCGGCAGCAAAGAGAACTGATACAGGGTCTGCTGATGCAGACATCAACTAAAAATAAATGACAGAGACATAGAATTGTTGGTAATCATTGTTAGTCACACTTTCTCACAGGGCCTATTCTTGACTTCTAAAAATATAATTCAAAGGCCAACTTTTAGTTACTCACTTCCTTTTTCCTGGGAGATAGTCACCAGAGGCATCTTATATTCTTGCTAAGTGCTTTCTTTTCTTACAGTTTGAGTAATTTCCCAGCTCTGATGCCGGCCCTTATATCGGAGACGACTGGGCTCATGTGTACAGTCTATCCCATATACTAATACGATAAATAAGATAAACAGATGGACTAATAAAACAAACTTTCGTCTCTCATACACAAAGATTCACTTTTATAGTTGTATATTGCTATTAGTAGATACACATTTATTCCAACAAAGAAACAAGCCTTTTCTTCTTCTTTTGAAAAGTTCAATTTACAGTCAGGATTGTTATGTTACACACACAGATGCCTTGTCCCCTCACTCACCCAGTCCTCACTTCTACCTGGCTCATGGGGTAAAATGGTAGCAGTAAAGGATGTGATAATCCTTTGCTCAGCTGTTACCAGATCTGTCCAACTCCCTGTCTGGCTGTCTGTTGCAGGTGATGATGCCTGTATTCACTACAGATGCACATCTCAAATTACATACTTGAAAGATATGATTGTCGTCTCTTACACAAAAGTGCAACAAAATCCGTGTGCATAAAGTACAGTATGTAACTTGAATCAAAGTTAATCCTTATCTGAAATAAGCAGATTTTCGATTTCGATTTTCAAAGACTTGAGAAGAAACATCCATCAGAACAGGCAGTGAAGGTAAAAAAAAAAAGGCCAAATACCAACATATCTAAATATCAACCTTTTATTGGAGTGTACAATGTAAGAGTTCATTTTTTGTCAAGCCTCACTGATAAGGCTTGGCGTCCATAACGTCTTATTTACCGAGTTACCTACAGATAGCTAACATCAGCGAAAACATGGCAAGGTTTTTCCCAAAAAGTATCTTGATATTCAACAAAAGAGGTCAGTTCTAAAATCAAACAAGGGGTAGAATTTAAAGGATACCAACATCCCTCTTTTTCAATCTGGCCAACAGTGGACAAAAAAAAAAAAAACAAGTCATTGTGTTATTCTTTTGCTGGATATTTGTGATGTTTCTGTTTCAGCTTCCCTATCACCCACACCATGTTAGCAATATTAGAACTCTAATTGTTAGCATGAGCAAAACTGGCGACCCTTATTGTGGAATGCTAAATTCTTGTGCTATGCTATGCTAATTAGCTTGCCAATGATGGTAATGTTACAAGTTGTTCTTTATTTGAAGGAGAACATTTTTAATAAATGTCACATTTAGCATCTTGACTTGCCATAGTGTTATTTTAATGCTAATATGCTTTGGGGAAATAAGTTTAAATATATGCATGGTATCAAGTATAGATTCTCCACAATAGGCCATGTTGGTGTAGCTACATCAAGAACTGTCCTTTGTGACATTTGAATAATCACAGAGGAAGAATTATTCGGAGCTATTGTTTAGTTTGTCGACATCTGACTATTAGGTCTTTAAAGGGAAAAATTGACCAGTCAGAGTTCTTTTTAATAAGCAATTCCTATATTACATGTCATGATTTACTAGTTAGTCAAAAAAAAATGTTGATACTTGTTTGAATAATGCCATGAATCTAGTGTTTCTCCCTATACTGTGTCAGCACTTCAGTTCAGGAGAACACTCCTTAACCTCACTGGTTCTGTACAGTAACTTAGCATATGGACCCATTATGAGCATCAGGTGTAAAACTAAAATGTCTTTGTTTCTCAAGCTTTACATGATGAATGACCTGATTATGACAAACAGGCATTAATTAATACTCTGCTTTCTACGGTTAAAAAAGAAAAAAGTTTTTTTTAAAAGCATGATTTCAACTGAATCTCTAGTGTGACAGTGACAAAAAAAAGAGAACTAAAATTCACAACAGATAGCCAGCCGTAACGCTGTGGGCTACCTCCATGCGTGTACTGTATGTAGTGTATTTTGCCTCATTACTTAAAGCAGATTTATGTTCCATAATGATACAGACCTGCAAATGGCCTATATGCATGCAGCGAGTCTCTTCTTTCAATCTGTGCAAAAATATAACAAGACTCAAACTCTGGAGCAAATTTACAGTCGACAGCAAAATGAAGCTAAATATTCCAAAAAGAGCATTTTCCTTTTTTTATTCTTTGTCTTAAGAAAATATGAGTGTTAACTAGGATCATTTGAATAAGTAAAAATAAACTAGAGAGCAATAGGGTATGAAAATAGTTCAATTTTTTTTTTCCTCCTGACAAACAATGACACGATTGATGAAGGATTTGTGGCAACTTATTTTGTAAGCCCCTCCCCCCCTTCAATCACTGACCAAAACAAAACAAAAAAACAAACATTCAACTCTAAAGTTAAAGAGACAATCTGATGTAAAATTGCACGTGTTAATGTGGGGACCGGGGACACGGGAGAGTGGCAGGGAGGGGACGTGTGTGGTGGGATGGCAGCCGGTATGAAGGATGGCGTGACAGACAGAGGCGACAAACGTAGAAGAGTTGGGGACATGGGAGGAGGATGCATAGGGATGGAAAAGGCCAGAATATAGTTTAAAGGAGAGGTGTGACAGAGATGGAGCCAACAGAGACAGACATGACGGAGATAAAGAAATCTAAGATATGAAAATGAGAAACAATACAGATGAAATGAGGTATTGCACAGATTAATAAAAAAAGCGTAAAGGCAACAAAAATATACAGCAAATTGATATAACATTTACATGTAGTATTTCGAAATTAAAGATCTCTTTTTAGAAAGACAAGAACTATTTTTAGTGTCAGAATCATCCAGGGGTCGGGGAGAAAAAAAAATATCACTAGTCCTCCCATTCATCATCATCCTCAAAGTCCTCATCTTCTTCATCGTCATCATCCTCATCTGTGAAAGACAAGAGGACATTTATATGAAGTCTACTGAAACAGCTAATGTTCTTACAAGCAACCAACTAATAAAAAACACGGAAGGATGATTCAAACATGGCATTTTCCAAATGACTGTGTTGATTGTAAACTTTGTACATTCTTTGAATCAATTTTAAGGACTACTTTGTTGTAGGAAGGTTTCGCTCAACTGAGAGGCTTAAAATGGAAAAAGAGGAATCACAAAGCTGTTCCAGACTGATGAGGAAGTGGTGAAAGTCCATTTTATATGTATATTTATAAGTATGTCCTGGGTGACTGGTGTCAAACTGCTCCATTTTCTAAGGATAAAGAGTGTGCACTTCTCAAAGCACCTGTGCAGCATAATTTCCACTATGGTCAGCCAGTACTGTGCGTGGTAGTTCGCTGGCATTGGTGTGTGTGTGTGTGTGTGTGTGTGTGTGTGTGTGTGTGTGTGTGTGTGTGTGTGTGTGAGTGTGAGAGAGAGAGAGAGAGGGAATGGGTGAATGTGCTGCAAAAACATTGTAAAGCCTTTTTGATAAAAACTACATAAATGTAGCTATTTACCATTGACCAAACCCTCTAGCTCAGTCATTGAGCCTATCTCACACTTGCGTATTAATATTTACGCTTTTACAGTAAATTACCTTCCAATTCTTATGATGCAGCTAAGAAAAAGAAAGTGGATTAAATTAGTTTGTTAGAATTTGGTTTTGAAATTATATGAAGGTGAATTAGACTAAAAGCCATCAACAGGTGGAAAGACACTCTTACCAGGTGTTCAGCCTTCAAATAATGTTGAGTTATGTGTTGGTGGGAAATGTTGTTTCATGCAAAAGTGGTGTGAGTAATAGATCCACGAGGTTAAATGCATGTCAGATACTAAATAACTGCACAGTGGTTTGTAATACAATGAAACAGAAATTTAATCTGAAATCTATGCTTATATGTACTTGATTGGCCAATGTAGCACCTTGCTGGATGACGCTGCATTACATAGTGGCAAAAGCTGAGCCAGGTTAAACTTTTTTTTGATGGGGTAACCCTGCGTTTTTGTTTGTGCTGCAGCCTTTTAAATGAATGCAATATAATGTTAAGTAAAGTAAGTAGGTAAGTAAACACCACATGGCAACTGAGCAGGGGCAATGTCAAAAAAAAAAACCCCTCTAACATGGCCTTCTTTCCTGTGCTCTTCTACTTCTCTCTTCTTACAATTCTCTTGTATTGATGGCACTCTTTCGTTACGCATTTACCCTATTAATGCCAAAAAACGCTCTTATTAGTATCTTTTGTCACTTAAATATTTTACTATATTGATGATAGTATGTTGCTCCTCAAATGTAAGTCGCTTTGGATAAAATGCCAAATGAGTAAATGTAAGTTCCCATGCAAGTGTTGCACTAACAGCATGTAAAAATCCCGGTAGATTTCTACTGCACATGACAGGAAACAGGAATATAATATTGTGAGCTAGTTGAGTAAATGATGAATGTTTGTTTTTGTACGTACCTGAAGAGTGAATAGCCTTGCTCCTTTTCTGCATCACCTCCATCAGGGCCCCAACGATGCCTGCCGAGGAGGCCGGGGTGGAAGGGACTTGATCGCTAGTGTCCTCCCTCTGTGAAGAAGACAGCATTAGCAGCCACAGTTGAAGCATAGGATACAGATTAATACAGAGCTGACTGAGAAGGTGTTTAGTGTGTCATGAATGGATACTGACCGGTTTAAGTTGGATTCCTTGTCGGATTTGGTCCAGAAGTGCGTCTCTGCCGGTGCTGTTAGATACCGGCCTCTCTTTCTGCTCTACCTTCTTCAGCTGGGCGCCTTCCCTGATCTGACTCAGCAGTGCCGATTTCCCCCCGGATGAGGACAGACTGCCGTCCCCTCCGTTAGTCTCCGTGGGCGGCGGAGGAGCAGGGGGTGGAGGACCAGGAGGCGGGGGAGGAGGAGGGGGAGGAGGCGGCGCTCCGGTATTGGATGGAGTTGAGGATGAGGGTGGAGGAGGCGGCGGTGGGGGAGGCGCAGCAGGAACTGAGGCATGGGCTGGTGGAGGGGGAGGCGGAAGGGGACCTCGGCTGGGAGGAGGTGGTGGAGCAGACATGCCAGGTCGGAATGGAGGAGGAGGAGGCGCGGAGACGGGAGCCCTGGCGGGGGGAGGAGGTGGTGGGGCACCGCGTCCACGAGGAGGCGGAGGAGGGGTTGAGCTGTGGTGTTGTGGTGGGGGTGGGGGAGGAGGGCCGCCTCTGGATGGAGGGGGTGGAGGAGCTGGAAAGAAAAAACAAACAAACTTGAAGTTAAAGTTGCAATCACTACGCCTCAGTCAGAGCTCACACACAGCCCCGAAGAACATCCAGACTTCAGTTCCTGACGGTCGGAAGATCTGGATGGTCTCAAAGGATTTCACAGCATCTCAGTCAAAAATACGGTTTTCCAATTCTTGCCTGTATCAATGTATCATGCAATTATATAATCAAGCCACCGGGGGCAACTGGTAGCTAGTGTTGGAATTTCCTTCCGAAACTGAAATTTAAAATAAATAATTGAAACTGATTTCAAACGGTATTCTTTTAGAAACATCCTTTTTTTCTAACCCCGCTTATTGATTCAAGAAAACTTGTACTGTGGTTCGATCAAACAGCTTGTTATAAGAAGTGTAAATCAGAATCAGAAGGAGCTAGCACTGGTCTATGTTGTGTGTGCGCCGCGGTTGGTCCGGGCGCTGCTCTTCCGCGGGTTATGCTTCTTGGTGTGCGTGACTGTTTCTTGTTTTCATTTTTCTCTTAGTTGTCTTGCTGCGTCAGCTGTTTATTGCTGCTGTTCGGCTGGTTGTCTTTTACTTGTATTATTATTATTTTTATTGTTTGTTTGTTGTTGTTTTTCTCCTCCCCAAGCCCCCTCTCTGTTCTATTGCAAGTTTCGTTGCTTTCTGCAATTGGTGTTTCCCTCTTCTCTTACAGGTGTTGTCCTTTCTCTGTGCTGTCTGTTTGTGCCCCCCCATCCCCATGTCTGCCCCCCGGTCCGGCCCGGTGACAAATCAATACATAATTAAATAAATAAATAAATAAATAAATAAATAATGAAAAGAAGTGTAAATGCACATGCACAGTTGTTAAAATATGGTGGACCAAGTTTGGCTAAGAAGTTGAACAGCAAAAAAATAATCCTTAAATTAATAATTATTTTTGAAAAAAGAAATCATGTAATAGTAATTCTTGCTAGTAATATGCATCATGCAGTTACATAATCAAGACACTGGGGGCAGCCTTGTCGCGTGTTACTAATGTTAATCTTGTTACTGAAAATTTTAACAGAATATATGCAAAGGTCTCACGATACAGAGGACTAGAGCTAGATTTTGGCAAAGACAGTTAAACATCATAAAATTATGATTATACAATAATTATTATAATGTTATGTTATAGAGGAAGGAAGTGTGCCATGATGAAGCGTACAGGAATGCTGTGTTTTTAATCTCCAGTTGTAGTTATAAATCCGCTAACACTAAAACATCCAACTCAAGTACAACCAACACAGCAAAAAACACAGAACTAAACTTGAGTAACTGCAAAAACGGCACACAATAAAATTTTATTATTCATATTACATATTACAGTCCAACATGCACATTCATGGGCTGTCACAGCACGTCATGCATAGAAACCTACCACACCACCTGGGTGGACCTGGGGATAAAACCACCACACTAGTTAGATTGTCTTAAATTGACAATCGCCCATTAATGCGTATTTGACATGGTTATTGTCTTGTAGAAACACAGGCGGAGATCATTTTCTACATCATAGTCCCAAAACTCTCCACTGAAGCTTATATAGTATGTTTACTGTGGAAATGCACCTTTTCTAAGCTAAAATGTGGGATCTTTCCTTTTTTCCACTTTCTCTAAAAAAACACCCTGGTAAATCCTCCATTCAATTTCACTCCAATATCAGTAAACTTGTTTTTTGTTTTTCCCAGAAAACAATCTGTATTCCCAACAGCGTATTGGTCTTACCTTGTCTCCGTAGTTCATTTTTGACAGCTTCTACGCCTCCTTTCTTCTCAATGAAGTCGTAGATGACCTTCGAGGTCTCCTTGTCCTTCAGCTGAGCCTCAGAGATGCCGCACATATCAAACAGGTTCTTCAGCTCTGGGTCCAAGTTATTCAACTGAAGGAAGAAAACGGAGGCGGATAAGACACGCATCTATTTAGTTGTTGAGGAGGAAAGGTTACAGAAGTGATTCCAATTCCTAACCCTGGAATTCGACCTGCCATGATTTACTAATGATTGAGACACAAATACAAAGAGACACAGACAGTAATGATATAATGCTGAATATGTTATTACTCCTGTAATAACAGGGGCTAACAGGGATCTAAACAAACATATGAATAGTCTACCAACTGATAATGTGAATTAATAGCTATTAATTTATCCTTATGGACTCATTGAGAGATATGGACTTAAATTGTAGTAATTACTGAATGTGTTCCATTACTGTGAATACTACTGGATTTCCTCAACAGGCAGAACTTTACTGTTGGGTTGATATTTCTCTTTGGGCGCATTTCCTCAAAGTTGTATTTACATAAAACTTTTATTGCCAATGGTGTCCACATCAGGAAAAAAACCCTCAAATAATCAGCTGCTGATTCTGTATCATTTTGGGTTCCTTATTTTAAAACCGTATCTGCCTCCTAGTCACAGTAACTAAAACACACTGGCTATAACAGAGCGGCTTTGCTGCTGCTCACACATCTGCTCACGTACGAGCAGTTAAGAGTTAAGATCTGTGATGTAATTTCACTGGTTTTAAATCTGTATTTATGAGCTTTGCAGCTCAGTAACACATTACGTGATGGACATGTTAAGAGTTGAGTTGGGGTTGAAAGGGACATTTGAAAAAGCAGGATTACTCACTTTGACACTGGCTGTTGGAAATCTATTGAAAACATATCAAATGGTTCATTCAGGAAAGAGTCAGTATGTGAGAAGTAACTTTTTTGAAATGATCATTTATGATGTTACACGCTCCTGAAGTGTGAAGACACTTTCAAAACTTCCCTCTGAGACAGCTCAAAATGAGACCACAATGTCAGCCACTATGCTGCCACCTGGTGGCGTGGGGTAACACTGCCAGGTTGGCACTCAGGAAGAAAATAGTGCCAAGTAACCCAGATCTGAATACAAATTAGGGATTTTATAATTATTTGTTCACCCCTTCAGCTGTTTCTATTTGTTACATTGTCTTTTTGCCAGCAGGGATGATAAAGAAAAATAATTACAATACACTGTTCATTTAACTGCCAAATTCTTTTAAATTAAAAATTTTAAATACTCCCACAACAACCGGTCACTTTATATCCATTTTAACTAATGTGAATTGGTAACCACAGCTGTCGTGCCGTAGTGTTTCATACCCAAACATTTATGTCTATCACTTCAAAAGCTGGGACCTCTATGAAGTACTTTGTCTACAGTATCTATGGTAGGGATAAAACGATTACCGGTTAAATGATAAACCAGGGTAAAAGTCCAGATGGTTAGTATTACTATTTCAATTTTTATTTTTATTAAAACAGTGTTTGATTGCCCTGCTTTGAAAATCTTTTTTGTTTTAGGTCAATGAAAACATGGACGAAGGCACTGACAGAGCTCTGGAGACTTTTCAGCCCGTCCTGAAGTTTTTTTTATTTTTTTTTTATAAGAGTGCTGAGGGGAACTTGATTGAAGAAAATCGCTTTATAGCGAATGCAGGGCAAGTTAACTTTTAGCTCAATGCATGATGTGGGGACTTTGGAATGAAGGAACATGTCATGGTTCGTCTGTCTAACTTGTTAACAGCTTGTAAACCGAAGCTCTCAGTGTTACCTACTTTTGTAAAAACACTGTATGTTCTGCTGCTGTATGTGTTGTGTTTATTCAGACTCTATTTGCCCATTACACATAACACGTTACGTAGTTTAGTCACCCAACCAACACATTTTGTTCGTTTAAAATCCGGCATCAAGTGTTCCAAATGGAGAAACGCTGCAGTCTCCCACTTAAGTCTCCTCTGTATTTATGTCAATTGTTCATGCGGTCGTATGCTTTGTAACATCTTTAATGTCAATGCACATTTGTTTTCATATGTTTACATACAGTATTTGCTGTTATTATTTTAATGTTTTATGCAAACAAAAAGTTATTTAATTTTTGGTTTTCAATATAAAACTTAGTTTCTGTGTGTATCAGTACTTTTTGAACATTTTCAGCACATTTTAATAATACCATGACGATACTGATAACTGTGATACTTCTGGATATGAAATTTTGATACGGTTTCATCTCTTATCTATGGTGTAAAGATAGAGAAGAAAAGTGATATAGCTGGTAAGGCTATAATGTATATCCCTTGCTCATTTGTAAATCCACTCATTTGTGCTCCAGCTTTAAGCCGGAGGATTTGAGAGGTGAGCAAGCTTTGTTCAACTGACGTCACCCATTCAAATCAATCTAAGTCCTTGAAAGCATTAACTTATGAAACCAAATCATCAGAAATTCATCTTTTTTTTCATACAGACAGAGTAAGTCCTCTGACCTGCATGATCTCATACTCATCATCCAGCATAATTACTGATGACGCTTTTTTCCATGGATTATGCAGATGCAGGTTGACTCTCTTCCCTCCAAAAATCTCCTTGTGTAACCCTCCTGATGACTTGGCCACGCTGCCCCACTTAACTTTTTGGAGCTGATATTAAATTTGAAAAATCTGTCTGGAAGAGAGACGTCTGGCTGACAAACAGACAAACTTAGGGCCAAAGTTTAAGAATAACTAGAGGTCACATACTTCCAACGTAACATTATTGACATCACATTCTTGTATTGCACTTACATCAAAGCCTGTATTTGGATCCCAGCCGACATGCCCAATGTGCCTATAAGGGAAGCAGAAGAGGAGAGCAGGTGAGACCAAAAAGACTGAGAGGAGAAGGCAGAAGATATGTTCAGTACATTTCCCCCCCCAAAAAAGAAGATGCACAGGCTGAGGTCGTCTAGACTGCTGCAAAATCCTTAATGAGCCCTGTTATTTTTATATATTTCCTCAGATAGCTCATTTGTAACCTGCAGTATCTCTATAAAGACTATATGCTACTATATCCTACATTACCAATCATATTACACACTGTACAGGATGAGATTCTGAATAAAAGACAGCCTGGATTAATTCCCCACCCAGATGCACCAGTACTTACGTACAAGGGGGATATAGGACTCAGGGCCAATATGTCATATGGGAAACACGTGTACCATGAACCTAAAGACCTGCAATCATGTACCTATTGTGCTGTAGGCTCACATATGCTTAATATGTTTAATCTGCATTTGTCTCTCGACCTGCAGGAAATCAAATTACGTTAGACAATCATCTTGTCTGGCAGTTTAAAGGCTTTGATAAATGATGAATTGTTCAAATGAGAATCATGACCGCTGACTTACAGCCTGTGTAATTCTATCATGTAGCACCACCTATTGGCAGAATGCCCTCAAAGTTTGCAGATCACTCAAATTGATAAGTGTATTTTAGAGTTATGGCAAATTATGAAACCCAGCAAGATCAAATGTGACGGACATATGGTGAGAAGTTAAAAGATCCCCATGACAGAGCATGACAGTGTTTTATCCATCGCCTGACTTGGACTCCACCCTACTAGTGCCTGTGGCGGACTCACTGGAAGTTGCTCGGTGTGCCGATGTCCGCCTTGGTCAACCTCTTCTTTTTCCCCTTGGCCTTTTTCTCCCTCTTGGGGAAGGAGGAGTGCACAATGTTGTTCACCTGAGAGTTATTATGGTAACGCTGAACAGTGCTGATCTCTGGGTTTTTGATGTCGACAGTAGCCATGGGCAACGCTGGGCCTTAAAAAAAATGACAAAAGTGAGACAAAAGTCACACTTTATGTAATGCAGCACGTGGAATGCAGAGAACAGCAATTTCAGAAATAAATACAGAGGCAGTGCTGGGTTGTGGGGTTTCCCCACTACATCTAAAAGGATACCTCCTTTATATAAAAAGGTCTACAAATGATACATCTGGCATAGCTGTGATTAAAACGACCTTCAGTCCAAGTTGAAATCCAGGCACTGGGTTCATCAGGGCCAGCAGTGTCCATTCAATTATGTAATCCATTATTTAATGACTATTCCAGACTGTGTTTGGCACAGAGGGGTCTGGCAATTGTATTAGGCTTTGTGGGTGTGAAAAGGGATTAGAATATGTGAGGTTATGGCATCGTTTTATTACTGCCCCTCAGGCTATTCAGACGAAATGACAGGCCTGAATAAGTCTGACCACTGATACTAATCAAAACATAGCAACTAAAGCTTACAATGTCTTTTTGATAAAGAGATTGAAATCTGTGGTAAAACGTGCTATGTAAAATTCTTTTACAGTATTTAATAACTTTTGTTTAACCAGGAGAACCTTTACTAGATATTAATCTCAATGAGTCATTACAGGCAGAGGTAACATACAGTGGGGGAAATAAGTATTGAACATGTCAATATTTTGTTTAGTAAACATATTTCCAATGAGGTTTCAGCAGACTTTGGTACTGACTCAAGAAATCCACACATATAAAGAAATCCAAACATTAAAGACTATAAATAAAGTTATGTGCAATAAAGTGGAAAGACACAGCAAAAACATATTTAGCACGCTAAGAAAAATCAGGTCTCCGAGGCAAGGTAAGGCAATGAACCAGGTGAAATCCATCAGTAGTTAGTAGAAAGTAATTATACCTCCTGTCAGTGCAAAGTTATATCAGCTGGGTTAGTAAATCAATGGTCTACAAAAAGGCTTGTTGTTAAACGTATCACACAAGAAACATCTTATGATGGGTAAAAGCAAACCTTATTGTTGCGAAACATATAGATGGATTTGGATACAGACGTATCTCAAAACTTCTGAATCTTCCAGTAAGCTAAGAAGAATAGTCAGAAGAGTAGCCCAAGACCCAAGGACCACTCGGAAAGAGCTCCAGAAACACTTGGAGGCAGCAGATACCATTGTCACAGAGAAAACAATAGGCAATGCACTCCATCGCCATGGCTGGATGCATTATGGTGTGGGGCGGTTTTTCATCGCATGGTACTGGCAGACTTCATATAATTGAAGGAACAATGAATGGAGCCCTTTACCAGCAGATTCCTGAGGAGAATCTTCTCCCATCCACCAGGATGATGAAGATGAGACGTGGGTGGACCTTCCAGCAGGATAATGATCCGAAGCATACAACAAAGGAAACTCAATTGGTTGAAGAGTAAAAGAATAAGGGAGTTAGTTTGGCGCAGTCAATCACCTGACTTGAATCCAATTGAACATTTGTGGAAAGAGGTAAAGACCAAAGTTCAAAAGAGGCTCGCCTGGAATCTTCAAGATTTAAAGACAATATGTTTAGAAGAAAGCCAAAATCACACCTGAATACTGTGGCCGATTAATTTCTTCTTACAGGGGGCGTCTGAAAGCTGTCATTTCAAACAAAGGCTTCACCACTAAGTATTAAATAAATTTAAGTTGGTGTGTTCAATACTTTTTTCACGTGTCAATCCTCTTTATTCCACATAGCCTTATTTGTGGTCTTCAATGTTTGGATTTCTTTATATGTGTGGATTTCTTGAGATAGTACCAAAGTCTGGTGAAACTTTCATGTGAATAGCCCCATTGGAAATGTGTTTACTGAACCAAAATGTTGACGTGTTCAATATCTATTTCCTCCACTGTATACATTACATTTTAACTACAATAATGGAGAACAATTCTGTTTATATATCAATGTAAAGAATAGGAGAGATGACAAAACTGAACTAGACTGAGCACAGGTCCCATAAATGGTGTCAACATGTCATAAATACACATGTGTGCTCAATGTGATTGCTTGTTTGCAGTCCACATTACAGACACTAACTAGTAAGTCCATCGTACATGTGCAGCCAAACAACAACGAACGCATTCAGTCGTGTTTTATATAACCACAGCAATTCCTGCCAGTACCGCAGCACATACCTTTAACACTCTCACTACAGGGGCTTTTGGGAGTTTTGCTGGGCGAAGGCGAGGCTGACCGACTGCGTCTCCTTCTCACCCTGTCCCAAATACACCCACCATCTCTTGCTCTGCAGGTGGTCATACTGACATCGAGGAGCATTTTGCCGACCAATTTGTGAGCTCGCTCTTTGGAGCAAATGGAGAGCCGAGCGGTCGGGACGGAGAGAGATGGGTACAGTTCGTCCTGTGGGAGAACCAGGCAGTGTAGTGACGACAGGCAGCTCCCTGGGCCCAAACCTCCACCACCTACTGCTGCTCCTCCTCCTCCTCCGCTGCCCTCACAATTAAGTTCCTCAGAGGGAGCAGACAGGAAGGTTGTGCAGAACATCATTGTAGAAGCAGGTTGGGCATGAGCAATACAGTAACAACAAGCTCAGGTGGAGACACCAAGGAAGATCCTGGTTCAAACAAATGATTCTGAATGCAGATAAGGTTCATAAACAGCCAAGGTTTGGCGCCAGACAGATCACATCCAGGTAAAAAGCACAATCGTTGACTTCAAGTCTTCTTAGGGAAAAGGTTTCTTCTTTGCTGTAACCTGAAAGCCAAGATAATCCCAAAGGTTTCCAAAGCACGACCAAAACACCAGCGCAGAAAATGAGCCAACTTGTGATGCACTCGGTTACTGAATTAATATCCTCAGACATCTGGTGGAGTTTAGACGCATACTGTCTGAGCTGTGAAGGCAGACATCCAGCACTGCCATCAGAAGGTGAAGAGAGCCAGCCAAGACACAAAGTTTACTCTTCCTCTTACATTCTTTCCATTACAGCTTTCTTTTATGCAAACTGTTCACCAAACTTGCATTTCCTTACTTTATCTGTCTGTCTGAGCTTTGCATGTTTTGTACCTATTGCATTTTCTATTCCCTTGACTATCCATCTCAGCAGGGAGCACTGTAAGATTATCATGCTCAGATTGGCTTGCTGTGATCCTTTCTCCACCCACCTCCCACTACCGTCTCCTCCCTCTCCCTGCAAAACACACAAATGGATCTAATCCCAGCAAATTATTCTGGATTTAGCGCTGGATTTTACGTAACCATTAAAACCCATCCATGCATAATCCCACGTTAATCTCAGTGGTTTTCTGATGCATTATGAAACTGCGGGGTAAGAGAAAAGGCGAGAAAGGCAGCGCAACAAAGGGAAGCCAGATGAAGAGAGATGAGAAAGGAGCAAAATTAAGACAGATTCAATGAAGAGCAGAGGGAAGATGGGGACAAATGAGAAGGGGAGAGCTTGAAAGGGCAGCAAGAAAAAAGAACAGAAGGAAAGCAAGGACCAGACTGGAGATGATGGACAGTAACAGAATTATGACGTGGTAATGGGAAGGGAGAGTGAGACAGATGGAGACTGAGAGAAGATGTTCCCGTGGGAGGAGGAGGATGACTTCCTTTTGGAAGTGCACCAATTCACACACAAGATGCACTTATTCAAAAACTGAAACCATGCATGACAAATCCAAGGTAGAAACTGGTACAAACATTTATGCATGACGACATAATTGGGCGCAGGTGAATGGAACGCATTCCTTTCAGATAACACACTCCTTTAAGATTTCCTTTCCAGTGGGTGATCTTCAAAATGCTATGTGAGAATACCAACAGAGTCAAAAAGCTGTAAATAAAGTCAACCATTAGCCCAAAATGGTTTACAGTGTGGCTCCGAGTAAAATGGTAGTTTAGGTATGACCATATCTGGCATAAAACACGTGACCCGATGCTGTTTAGCTGCTCTGAATATAAACTAATGAGTAAGTGTGTCATTTGTGTGGTAAAGACCTCTGCACAGCAGCATGCACACACACAGATGTATTAATAAGCCAGCTGGGTCAAATCATGATTTCTGTCTGTCTGTTCCACACTGGTTTCCTCCTGTGTAAAACTAGGCTGTCTTATGCCGTATGTCCCAAAACAAATGCGTGCATATCCACAAATGTATTCCATCTGTTTAGTCATCAGACCATACTGAGGATTAGGCCATGTAGTTCAGAGTTCAAGACTCGACTACAGGGCATTATAATATTATGTTAGACTCTATGCAATTGCATTGTGATCATGTGCTTTCTTTTCCTCCAGATTCCTACACACAATCATTCTGACTCACTGTAGGCAAAAATAACACATCAAAACCAAGACTTCATAGTTCCCAACTCTGCATTAGTGGATTTGCAAGTAATATGTATATGAAGATAGTCTGTGTCTACAACTGGACAACCTGTTTTTTTTAGGTTGTTTTAATCTTACCCATCTGACCTTACAAACTGATTCACACAAATGTTGCCAATACCATCAGACACAGGTTTGACTCTTCCGTTTAATTCTGAACTTATCGACAGGAAACAGTGGACAACATACCATTTGGAGGGTCGCGTCTCTTCTCTGTGAACACACAGACAAATGAAATCATTACAATCATGTGCTAAGTAGTGGGTCGTGTTAGTGAGAAGTGAATTTGTCTGAGCGCGGACTCACAAAGAGGAGAGATTTTATTGGTTTTTAAGAGCAGGGCACGGCGGGATTGTGCGTGTGCTGCACAGAATGGAAAGTTATTTAGAAAATTTGTAAAGCCAAGTCTTTTGTTAGTGTGATTAGAAGACGTAAATCAGACACCATTGTGTACACACACACACACACACACACACACACACACACGACAAAGCTAATATAATGCAAAAGAATATAAACTCTGGAGAAGACAATACACACGTCTCTCTTTCACTCATGTGGTATTGCAAAGAATATAAACACTAATAGATTTATGACAGTGACAGACAGAGAGAGACACACACACACACACACACACTTCAAAATAATGGCTTGAGTTTTCCCAATGACTGAAGGTCAAACAGAAGAAGCCTTGTAGATAAGATTATGTATCCAGTGCAGAGGGCTGAGGGGGGAAAGATGAGCAGAATGATCCACTTGAAGGGTGAGGAAATGACCCGCAGAAGAGGAGGAAGAAAGACGCACCATCATAATCAAGCAAGTGATGATAGAAGTTTAGGACTGAGTTACAATAATACGTTTAAGAATGCATCTGTATGTTTTTTCGTAAACAGCTCATTTCCTTAGATAGATAGATATGATTTAAGTTAATACAAATTATAATGCACAACAGCATTTTGTAAAATTACCTTCCAGTTGTGCATTTCCAAAGTCTACTTATTGGTGCTGGATGAAAACCTGGTGCTATTTATGTATTATTTTAATGAATAAAAAACATTTAGAATTGAGAAAATGGTCTCCACTTACAAATCACCATGTTCAATTCATAACATGCATGCTCTGGAAATATTAAAAATACTATATCCATAAAGGATGCAGTCCTTCCTGAAACTGTAGTGCCCCCCTTGGGCCAGTCAGCATATTTGTTCAAACCCCAGAGTATGGTGAGATGCATCCCTTTGGTTTTGCTGAATCTGGTTGTGTCCTGAGTTATCATAAAATGTGACAGAAAGCTGATCCAGAGCCCTGACTGCAAGCTGTTTCTGTGACTGAGGTTTTCCTGCAGCACCAAAACTGAGAGAAGTTTGTAAAGATAACTTTGAATAATGAATAGGCAGATTTGATAATTATATGCGCTGCTACTGCAAGACAGCATTGTTAAATCTTTGTTTCATCTTGTGTGATTTGATTCTGTTCATTTCACATGGAGCGCCTGTAAGTTTGAAAATGGTGATGTGTGTTCTCAAAGGTTCTAAGAACTGGGAAGAGATTGCAGGAGATCAAAAGGAGGATTTTGGATAGTATAGCAAACAGACCCGGGCAAAAAAAATCCTCAACCATTTTCAATACATGACACTATGGTGAAGGACGTTTGAATAAACTTAAAAGTCAGGCCTGAAGTGCATCTCAGATGCCAGCTGGAATACATCGTTGCATGAAAGCATCGTTCTAGAGCCGCTGAACTAATTGGGTTCATGTATTAAAATTTAAGCCATTTTTGCCCAGTTCTGTGTGGTTGAGGACTGCAAAAAAATGTCAAGTTTAGAAATTTGGTCTTGTGCTCACACTAGTATGAATAAGTCATATAATTTCAAGCCTGTAATAACAGGTTTGAATTGAAATAAGCTTTAAAAAAAGGATTATTTTGAACACAAGATAAACATTTCCTATACATGTCATTTTTTTTGTGAGCTGTAGTACTAGGAAGTAGCAGTAGGTAGGTTTGTAGGTAAGAGGGCAGCAGCATTAAGTTGGTACCAGATTTTTTCTGTCTTCTCCCAAGTAGCTCTGCCACATGGCGATGGAAACGCTTGGTCTCCTCCTCATTGGCAAAGTTCAGACCCACTTGGCATGTCTGTAAACACACACACACAGTTTGTAAAAACTCGATACAAATAAATTTGTAATATCAACTTATTTCTTGTGTAAGTGCAGCTACCTAGCTAATTTCCATGATTTCATTTCGAAACCTAATTCCATGATGTGTAGACAGTGAGCAGTCCCTGCCTTATCAGCAGTCCCACATACCTCATGGTCTGCTGGAGCCTTAGCCACTGTACCCTCCACCTAAGATGTTTGCTCCACAAATATCGGTGTCTTGTCATCACAAGGCTTAGATGTGACATAAAGCTAACAATAATGTTGTTTTTACATGTTAGGAATAAATGTCGGAATGTCTTTTGGTAGCCAAACCTTTAAGATTGGCTCACATATCCTCCTCAGGGCAGTTTTCAAATACAATATCTGGATTGAAGAAGAAAATAAGCTCTGCAGCAAACTAAGATCTATGTATACCTAATTTGCTGACTAACATCATCTCCACAAAGCAACACAGTTTCTCCTGGGGTGCGGCATTGCAAACTGGTTCTGAATTCCTGAAATCTGTTTCTAACTTATGAAGAACCACTCCCCTTACTGAATCCTGAAAGCACATTTTGGACCTACTAGACCTATTATGAATGTGTCAGTGTTGGTTGTTTTTTTCTTTTACACCACTAGAATAGAAATGTCTTTCAGGAAGTGTCTTCAAAGCAGTTGTCAATAGAAATGCTAGATTCATTTTTTTTTAAATATTAGGTTTCTCTGGGGTAATCAGTACACTTTGAACTCAAATGTAATAATCAATGACAGTGTCTGTGATAATCACATCAAAGGAGTTATTTCCCCCTCTGCAGCTGCATTTCATGAATAAATGAAAATAAAAATGAATAATAAAAAAATAGGTACTATGGGTGCTGACGTAGAATTCCGGGGAATCAGGACGAGAAATGTGAAAAGCTGTTGAGAAGGAAACTCACATCTCCAGCAAATGTGATGAAGTAAGGTTTGGGGAGGTAGATGGTGAAGTTGTTGTACAGTTCCTGTTCAAACGTAGTCTTACCATCCTGTGGAAAAAAATTACAGAGACCAGGTTGAATGACAGGTATGAATTAGGCATCAGTAAGTAGTACAACAGACAGGTTAATGCCCCAGTATTGAATGAATAATATAAATGAACACACATCCCACAAATTCCACTGTGTGGCTTTTAAAATACAAGCTTGTCATGAATATCAAATGGTGGTACACCACCACTGGATATTAAGTGTGGTGAGCACCTTCATCTGCCAGCTACTGCTGTGACAAACCACAGTGATCAATCATATTCCATCAATGTGCATGACTGCCTTCTGCTTCTCACCTTGATGTCTAAGACTCTGATGAAGTAGGATCGCTGGGGGTTGTCTTTGACCAGGCAGGCCACCCCGCAGCATCTCTTGTTCCAGCAGGAGTTCCTATCTGCTGTGAACACCTGGACCACTGCTGAAGACAATGTCTGCAGGGAGGGAGAGAGAGGAGAGTCACATTTATCCTGGGCAGCTTAATGGAAAACACATAAGCACTGCGATTCTTTCCTAGCCATGTGAATGTATCTCAACGGGGTTTATAGGAACGATTGCTTCTTATAAAGCTAATAAACTGATAGCTTAATGTCAGTTGTTTGGTAATGCAGGCTTCACGGTTTCTGTGAACAAATCAACTATTTAAATCTGTAATCTTTATGTTTGCAAAAATCTGTGAGCTGCAACGCCAGAGATCCAGCCGCAACACTGCATCAGTCTGTGTGTATAGTCCAGTACAGAATAGCACTCTACGAATATTACTCTAAGGATCAAAAAGATCACAGTAGCCTCAACATTTGGAAACCCCTTGGTTAGGAAGGTGACCATGACTTCTTTCTAATTCCAGTTAAGGATCGTTGCTTCATCAATGCTATGTCCCCAAGCCCATAACTCGGATATTAAGCGAAGCCCACCATCTTGAAGGATGTTCAAAAGGTTTAATGCCCCTTGGATGATCCAAAAGGCTTCCAGAGATGCCCAGAGTGAAGTGTATGCTATGCTGCACGACCTTATAAAGCTACCAAGAAGTAGCCTAATGACATAACTCAAAACCCAATGTCTAGCAGAAACTGGACTCATTGTGCACCTAACAACTTTCCTACCATGACAAATGATAGTTTCAGCTTGCAGGCACTGTGAGATACGTGAGGACAAGAGGTAACTATAAAAACGTACAGTTTTGTGGCACTGCTGCAACAGGATTTTGACACAGAGGAATAAAAAATAGTTTCAGCACAAGAATGGTTACATCCTTAAGCTGCCCTGACATGAGTGAGTGTGGAAAAATGTGTGGAATGATCTAAATATACCTGTTCACACATGTTCCCCAACTGCCTGAGCTTGAGTCCATCTTTTTCATAATACAAGCCTAGATTCACAAACAAGAGTACATTTTAAAACTGAAGCCATGTAGGCAGACCCGGACCAAACCCCTTTCGGAAAAGTTTGTACAAAAACAGAAAACATGTTGAACGTTTAGTACAGATACCGTCTCTAAGGCATCAAGTAATATGTCGTACATATAGCATTTTACAGTACTTGGTTTTGCTAAATAAAAGCTTACTTCACAAATGAAAAGATTATTTTCAAAATGTGTCCGTGCTATCCAATGCATTTAACCTAAGTGTTTGATGGGCAGCATGTAAGTATAATGACATAACCACAGACCGAAAGACAGTGACTCTATGGGAGTCGAGTGGCTATGCTCTGCAGCTGTCAGAAAACTGCCCATCAATGTCAAATGCCTCACAAGCAGCGCAGTCACATAACTATGAACAGAGACACATCCACTAATGCCTGGTTCAGACTGTGCTGTTCAGGCTACTCAACTTGCTGTCTTGTAACGGTAGTCTTGGAGTCATTGTGGTGTTCATACAACGTGACTGATCGGCGAAGGGGGGTCACACAGTACACGAGCTGACAATGCCACCCGACGACTTGTCTCCAAACCAGTCAAGGGCGATCATGGGAAATGACACTAAAACACATGCGGAACAGGAGCTATTAAAGATAAACATTATAAAGATAAAGAATATGGGTGAAAGAATCGATTAACACTGTGTTGTGTGAACTAGGCTTTAGTTGAACAAAGGCAGTGAGACTACAGAGATGAAATAGGTCGTTAACATGAAGCAAAACTAATTGTCCCCGTGTACAGAGTCTCACAGTAGGCAGAATTGTAACAAATCTGTTTGACACTGGTGCAGCAGGGATACATACCACCTTAAACTATGGACCCAAGCTGGGTTTACTGCAGGTTATGTATTAAGGACACTCCAAGCATCAGAGAATCTCCTGGAGTAGGCTCTACTAAGACTGAGCCCCCCCGAGCCCAAGGACAACTGGACCTTCAACTGGATCTTCAACCAAGTCCAGTTGCCCTTGACCTCAGCCTTCATCAGATCACTTCTGTTTTTGTCTATGTATCCAAATTAAATCTGTCGGATCCCCACATCACCTTTCACATTCAGATGATTGAAGTTTTGAGACTGCTTTAAACATTCAAACGCCATTAGGAAAGTAGGCTGTATAGTTTTGTTCTTGGTGGGGGAAGCAGCAGTGTTAAAGAAAAAGCAAGGCTGTCAGTCTGAGACTAAACCGCATAATGATATGCACGCGCACGCACACACACGTCACATCCATGATCATAAGACCAGATCACTCACTCCCACAGGTTTTACAGGTTGCTGCAGGGATGTACTCACACTGGAGTGGGGGGGTTCACAGTCATTACCACATAGATGAAAGAGAGAGCATCGACAAGGGAAATGTCTGGTGATCTTTCTGGGCCTTTTCAACTCAACAGTTCCAGGAAGATACCTTGTGTTCTTCTTTGTAAATTTGTGTTGTGTGACTCTCATGTTTAAATTAAGCAGATGCGCAGAGGCAGAAAAGGAATATTAAAAATGCCAGCAAAGCAGTTTCCAAAACAGTGAGGATCTGGTCTGTTGTTTTTTTCTGGTTATTTTGTTTGTCTCTTCTCATCTTGCTCTGGGCGAGAAAGTCAACAACAATACAGCTGTAGTTCAAACATCAATAACTTGGCCCATGTCCTAATATTGAGACTAGCAACAACTAGTGTTTGCCTAAAGTATTAATGAATAAGACAAACAACTTGCAGCAAAGGCTTGTGTTTGACCAGCCAGCAAACTTCTGTACAGATAGTTCCCAGAACCAGCTGAAAATATTACATCAGAAGCAGGTACTTTCTGAGTAAGCTTGGGCAGCATTACTGTGTTTTTAGTTTATAATATTTTTTACTGTAAAGCAGTTTGTGACTCCTCTTGTCTGTGAAAGGTGCTATATAAATAAAGTTTACTTACATACTTATTTACCAGGGTATTCAGAAAGTGGTGGGGATAACGCTACTGGACTAGCAAACAAGAAAAATGCCTCTGCCCGTGTTTGGGTGTATTCAGGGTTTAGTCCCGATGATAAACATAAGCCAGCCAACACAGACGAAGCTGTGTGCACATCATCTCCGTTCAGCCCGCTGATGTGTCGGTATTCGCCACAGCAACAAGTGTCATCGGGTCCACCAGCAGAAATCTATGGAAGGAGGGCGCTTATTTGCTTTTTATCCAATATTTTATGGCCTAAAAGTATTTAAACCAAGTAAGACTAAGTAAAGTACCAAGTAAACGCATATTAGACATAATACAGTGATTTCTATCACCTGCAGCTCAGCTTTAACTTCTTTTTTTTAAATACACAATACTATCATATACCGTATCTACCACAGTGACTGAAGGTATGAGGTAAATAAAAAACACCACCCTAACCTATTTTAGAGTAAAGGAACAACGATCCAGGAACCAAAACCAAAACCATACCAAAACTATGTTTCTGTGGTCAAAATGCAGGTAACATTACTGGAAAAGCCTCAGTTGAAAAGGAAAACTAGTCTGTGTCTGATTCCTAAGAACTGACTACCCAGGAGTAGCTCCTAATGCCAGGCTTTCTCTGTGGGCCATTAGGACTAAATGGTGTTAGCTGTCTTGTTTGTAAGATGTACAGCCACTCCTAAAGACTGAATGCAGGGAAAGCCAAAAAAAAATAAATAAATAAAGAGGTTGAATTTTAAGGTTTGGTCTAAGCAGAAGCACAGATTTACAATTTATAGTGGGCTGACAGAGGAGGCTTTTAGAGAAAGGTTAGGTCGATCAATGGCCTTACATCAGCAACACTATCCTAAGAATACTTCTCACTAATGGTTCATCCAAACCCTAAGCAGGAGCTCGACAAAGAGAGTCACACATCTCCCTGGCAGAATAAATAAGGGCTGATTTTTCACTGACTCAGGTCAGCCCAGCTGTTCATATAGGAAGTTTTTATGACCTGAGGAATGGCTCAAAGGCTAGCTGAGTGGCCAATGTAGCCACGTTACATGACTAACTGCACACAACAGAGGCAACATTAAATACCAAAACTACATCTGCGTAACAGTTACATCCCAATGACAATCTGTGAATCACAGAATAACCTCGCAGTATGAATGACGCTCAGTGTACTCTCCCACAAACGAAGCTGCATTCATCAGTATTATCATATTGAGTTTTAGCCGTATCGCCACGTCCTACAACTTATTTTACTTTTAAGGTGCTTCACAAGCATGCATCTATTCTGTTTTTCTCCCACCTCTCTCCAACTTTAGACTTTAAAGCTTTGTTGTCAGAGTAAATATGTTTGTCAGCACTGCATGTACAAGATATTTTTAATCTTATTTATACAAACATTCAGTGTCTTTGCTGCATTCCAGCTCTTGGTTGTTTGAATTTGGATCAGAAAGACCTGAGATCGAACGAACAGAATTTCTGCTTTGTGATCCAAGTGCTCTGTAACAGTGACTTTTAACTAGGTGTCCAGGCTCTGAGGCTGTGGGGTTTCCTCTGCCCATGGAGCGCTGATAGCTCCTGACAGGGCCGCAGGTTGCAGGAAGTGGAGCTCTGTCTGTGGCGTCATCGAAAACCCAACAAAAATACTCGATCACTCATTCATTCACACTCTCTCTCTCTCTTGCACTTGTTCTCAAACACGCTCAGCTTCTACAGCTGTTTTTTTTTACATCTTTCTTCTACAGTGATGACGCTTATCACCTGTTCAGTGTGCAGACTGCATAATCACAATCTTTCTTTTTCACACACGGAACAAGGAACTATAGCAAGTCAGCAATGTACCCTAACCTCTAACCTATATTCTAAGGCCTCCATGCCTTAGGGGGCCATCTTCTTAACCGCAGTTTATGTGCGCAGTAAGAAGGCAATGCCAATTTGTGCAGGTGACACCAAAATTAAAGAATATCTGTGATTGTTTCCATGTGTGCCAATTACACACCTCAGTGACATAAATGTCATATTTTCAATTCGTCTGACAGTAATGATGCAGGGTATAAAGCAGGTCCATATTGTGTGATCACAAGATTTGAAAGCACAAAAATCAGACATGTGAACAAAATACAAGTGAAGGTAAAAACGCAAACAGGTTGCATGGGAAAGAAATATCACATACATCATTGTCATGGCTTTTTTTACGAGGTGAACAAAGTGGAAAAGAATGATAAAACATCATGAGTCAATCATTAACTCTTTACCTAAGGTGTGGTAGCTGTGTCCAAACTCATAATGTGTTTAAAAAGGACAACTTTATCAATTATATCTTTGAAATACAGCACATATTTGTGAAATGAGGTTTGCAATTGTGTTTTAGAAATTGCTTTGAAGAAGACAGAGTTTGATTCTTATTGTTAGAGGTATGCCATCATACTGTTCACGATATACTGGTATCATTTTTAATTTAATTAAAAAATAATATCGTGATAATGCCAATAATCTGACTTGTTGGCGTAAGGACGTCATACCATTACTGCAAGCGTGGCTGAAGGCAAAAGTAACACTGCTATCAGCTCCATGCTGGAGAAGTTAATTCCAAAAAGGGGAGTGACTTCAGCAGTGGGGAAGTGGTTCAGATGTACAACAAACCACGTTAATATATGTAAGAAGTGCAAGAAGACTGTAGCAACAAAAGGGGCCAATACAACAAACTTATTTCACCACCTCAAGCAGAAGCACCCGCTTGAGTACAAGGAGAGCCAAAAATTCCACGAGGAGAGCTTAACAGCTATTGTGAGTTCTAAACCAGAAACAAAAAATGGTCAAGAATATCATTATCTCAGAAATACCCTTAAATATCTTGATATTATTTTATTTTAGGGTCAAGTTACCCATCCCTACTGATTGTGTTCAAACACTGAGGGTCTGTTTGCAAAAACAGCTCTCTTGAGTTCTTCTTGTTTTCCGCATAAGCAAACTACAGTTGTTGTTCTCATTTGAATGGCTTCCATCAGCCATTTGGTCAAGCTGTTCTATACTGGCACAAGCTGGGCACCATTATACCCCTTCACAAGATCCTCCAGAGAGGACGTGAGTGAAAGGTGGTGAAAAGCTGGGAATGAGTGGGATGAAACAGAAGACAGGACATGTGGCTGACGCAGAAAGGCAGTGTTGGACAGAAGAGGGAGAAAAAGGAGTGTAGATGAAAGAAGGGGAAGTGAGGTACCGCAAGAGAAAAAGTGAAGGAAGAGATGCAAATATATAACATATAAGTCATGTTCCCCTTCTCCAGCACAAATCACCAGAGGAGGCCGACCACGGGACTTCCTGTAGGACAGGACTGCTGATCAGGCAGTCTGCGCACACACACAGTGTGAATTGGAGCCCTTCCACCTTTTGCCCAGTCAGACAGTGTTGCTGATGGTGAAAACAGCAGAAGGAATACTAATGAGTAAAACCAATGAGTAAGACCACTGTGGATATACCTGTATGCATCTCTCCTCATCTTCCCATACAGCCTGTGTCAGCTGTGTTACTAAGAATAAATTCATTTCTTAACAGACAGACAGATTTAATAATAAACATGTTGTGTATGTAATTTTACTTCTATGTCATATTGGCTTGGAACATAAAATTTCCCTCTATATTGCAAAGACTCCAAGACTACAAGCAGGAAAACAGACAAGGAGTAGCATATCTCTACGTTCAATGTCTATTTCAGTTGCACAGAGCCAACTACAGGCTGTGCATCTTAGAAAGAAGTCTGTACAAAGAACCAAAGTGAAGGTGCCTCTTACATTTTCTGCATAATACGTACATTACTTAAGGCTCAATCACTCAGTCTGCCAGTAAATCACTGGTGAGCATTCTAATTAAATTGGTTAGGGAGACACACACAATGTCTCTTTCAATCTCCCTCTCCCAGATTCTTTCACACACACACACACACACACACACACACACACACACACTCTTCTTTCTGCATGCAAATTCGTGTACAGACACACTGGAGCGAAGGACTGCGAGGAATGTTCCTGATTCCACGTCGCTGTCACATGCCGTCTGACACAATTGCCTGAATGTCGGAGGAATGTCGTCACTGGATTTCTGAAACAGGTTACATAGGTGTAGGGGGACACGCCTCAGAAACCTGTGTGTTTCATGTACAAGGAGGAGGCGGGACATCCCGCCATGTGACCACATACAGGCCTGACCCACTGTGTCATGGGACAGGAAATGTAGCCTTTCCAAAGCAAGCATGCCTCACACACAAAGAGCACGACTGGTTCACCGCAATGTCGGTGAGCTCCAGTAAACCAAAGAGGAAAAGCCATAGCTCTGTCACTCACGCACATCACCTTTATTATACACAATTAAAGAAAACGGTGATCATTATAGGGAAGTAGCCTGAAAACAGGCCACATGAAAATCTACACTATGCAAGAGCAATTAACACACTTGTGTCTCACCTTCATGCTAAACACACCTTCTCACAGACTGAGCCACATCTACAGAGCAAACATGATTATGCTACAGCAAAAACCTAACACAGTTTATCTTTAAGTTATTAATCTGATACCTTGACTTTACAACACATCTTATCTGTAAAGCCTATCAACTGTGTGGACATTCTTTCCGGCTGATATCACTGGGTGACATTTGCAAGACAATTTGGCAAAACTACTAACCAATTATGGTCAGGGGAATAATAGTTTTCAAAATCAGACAGGAAAGCTGTCAAGTCAACTTTACAATCATGACAATTTGTCCATAGAATGTCGATTCATTTGAGAGAGAACCATAATCTAACCACACTAGCTAAATACTGGCAGTATTTGACTGTGGTGAGCCATGACACCCTGGAAGGCAACTGTTGTGAAATTGTTTAAATGGCTGATGACTATTCAGATGCACAAGCCAGTGGGGATGGCTGACTAATGTGGAAAGGGGTCAGAACCTGTCCTGCAAGATGCTTTTGTATGATGTAGCTATAAATGTCTTCCATAAAGTGTGGCTCCAAACTGTTTGGTATGGGCCTAACTACAAACACCGCGCACAAGGAGGACACATAAAAATGAGTCAGCTGTATGCTAGAGATGTTACGTAATATCAGACTATCTCACAATATTGAGTCGTGACATTGCACTACTTGAGCTTCGCTGCAGTCACACTGGTACAGCAGGCTACTCCCACTGCTCTCCCCGTCAGGTTCTGTGACTGGCAAGTCTTGGAGGACTTTTAGCCAGTCCGCTCTGTCTTCAGCCAAGTCTGGTCCGCACATTCTTCTCGGTGGACACACTTCCCGAAAACAACCCCAGGTTCAGCTTTGTTATGTAATGCCAGTGCAAAAAAAATCATTGCTTTGCCCTGCTTACCGCTGATAGCTTTAACAGCTCCCAAACCCGCGACTACTACTAACTCCACTCTGCCAGTGCTAGGCTTCGTGCGTTTCGGCTAGGTGACAGCGGGATTTCAGGCCTTCCCGGGTGATTCCAGGTGTGTCAAGCTTTAAGTTAAAAGGCTTAACGTTATTGCCAGCGGAGGCCTCAAAGGCTGGAATGAAACTTACTGTTGCCCGAATGTCAGCTTCCCAAACGGGACGATGATAAACACAGTCGCTCTCTAGCCCTCCCTCGTCGCCTCTGCTGTCAAAACAAACCAACCTCTTCGGTTAGAAGTCTCAAATGTTTCCCAGGGAAACACACGCTTACCTCCGAACAACATAAAACTGTCACTAGGCCACAAACACACCTTTACACCTCATAGCTAGCCCTTTCTACCAGGACAGGACAGGAAACACGGCGTAAGTTAGCTGTATTAGCTTTCCCCCCCTTTAGCCAGCTATCTTACAACAATTTGACGGGGGAAAACTTACCATGCATTTCCTGCCAATGTGGTTGAAAACGAATTCATTTTCCTGCGGTGTCAGTAGCATCGAGCCAACATTTGCTGGCCGCCGTTGCGCCGGTTGTCCACTCATTATTGGTGATAAATTTATAAAGTATGCACTGACTCTAACTCGTTATATGGGACCCAAAAAGACACATAAACAATCCCCCGGTCATCCGTGGCCTCCTTTCGACCCCCCTTGCACCGGTTCTGTTTATCCCGGGGGTCCGCAAGACTGTGGTGCCAATAAATGTGTGCCGTTTAGGAGTGCAATGCGACGTCCCGCTCCTCTTTAAAATAAAGTCAAAACTGCAGCGGCTGGGCTAAGACGGAAAACGGCAAAAACTTTCCTGGGAAGTCCGTCTGCCAGAGAGCCAGGAGCCAGCTCCATCCAACATGGCAGTGTTAGGGCGAGTCCACTATCGGGGAATGGGGTCCGCACTTTTCCCAGCTGTGTCCCACATACTCACCAAGTCAAAACATTGGCGCGACAAACGGTGAGAATTTTATATTTCAGCAGAGTTTATATGCTAGTATATTTTTGTAAAAGCCCGGTATGGAAAATATACTTAATACAATTACAATTCTCAGCACAGTCTCCATGGAGATGGTTTGGTCCAGTCCGCCCGTGGCTTTTATGACAGGAATGTGAGCGAGTGCAGAATGGGAGGAGATAAGAAATTATGTGCAAGTTGCCAAGATAATGGCATACAATGCTCCTTGTGACAGGAATTATTAAACTGAATATTAATGCAAAGATAAGCCTACACTTTAAATGAACACTTTAAGAATTCATAAAAGAACCACGGAAATTGTAATTTCCCTCTAATGATGATAATGTGCTATCTTTTTCTCAGAGAGGTCAGGTCATGGTTGAGCTCCAGAGGTAGGCTATGATTTCCCGAGATGATAAACATTCCCTGGGACATGAAATTATTTGCCCTTGTTCAATTGAAATGCTTCTGGGACAATACACAGGTCCATTCCTTTCATTGCAATAAACTATAAATAACCTACAAATAAAGTGAAGTACAATTAAGACTGCTCCAGTTATACATAGCCTCAGGGGTAAGACTGCCAAGTCTGACATATGCTTCAAAGTGTACATTTCAGTGTGTTTCTCCAGAATCCTTGTTAATTTACTGAAACCACAAAATTAAACACCCATAATGTTCTTGATACAGTGTTAAAATATTACAAAGCAATATAGGTCAGATATTTTACTCTTTTCAATATAGCTTGACAATTAAAAAGACAGATTTGGAGGCTATTATTAAGTAGCCTTGAACAGTGGCAGCATGCATAGTTCATACTTCTTTTGCTAATGTGCCTAAGGGTGTTTGTAATACTCTGCAACATGCTCAGTCAGGCTCATAAACGGGTGATGTTTGCAAGAGGGCCGTCTTTGAGAGGTAATACAAAGAAAAGACTTTGACGAATGCACTCCAGAAGTTGTGTTGCTATTGTCCACATTTGTGCAGCTTGTACAAACGTTTATACTTTTTAAAATAATTTCTTGCACATACAAATAAAGTAGTCAGGTTATGTCAGGTATCAAAAGCACACATCATGTATCAGGAATTTGACATGACTATATTGGTGCTAAGACATTTGTAACTACAATTAGTAAGAGTAAATTATATATGCCTGTACCAGACTTCATGAAGTCAAATTTCTGTATGTACATGAATATGAGAGTGAGGTATTCTGATTTGCATAGATTCATGCACAGCTTGACTGGAAATAAGCTCTTTCATAATCTTCATGAGCCCTGATATCGTCGTAGTTAGCACAGTGTGTGAACGAACTTATGACATCTTCAGATTCCATGTAGGCCTCATATTCTAATGTCACTCTTGTTCGCCCATGTCACATACATCTACATCACTGTAGTTGTCAACTGCCAAATAATGTAAACGCAGTCCATCAGACTGGTGTGCATTATTCATGCACAAATGCCATTAAAATTCTAACCAAGCTGTCAGTCAACTTGTAATAGAGATGTTTCTTTTGGACTTTCATTGAAAAAACAACTTTTTTCCACATGTCTGCTCTAATCATTATACAATACTTAGTTCACCCGTAAACATAAACAAATGTGAATGTGATCCTGTGGGAGTGTATGTATCATGCATGCGTGCAAGAATGTTTCAGAAACTCAGGCTATTTGTTCTCTTTTGTTGGGTCACTATGGGGGGTAGAGAAAGTTTCCCCGTGGGGCTTACAGAGATGACAGCCTCAAATGTCACTAGTAACACCTGTTGAGAATGATACTGCGGATTACCCAAATGCAGCTTTTCTAGTTGAAAGTCCATACATGTTTCATGTCTTCCTTTCTGTGCAATTAGGACAAATATGGATGCCCAACCATGTTGTATTTCCGCATATTGCAATATGTTATCTGCCACGTAATTATCACTATATTTGCTTTTAGATGTTTACGTAAGTAAAAACTACAAATCACCCTTCGTTAATATGTACCAATAGCTTTACGTACAAACATACATTTTAAGTGATAGACACTAGGCTATATCATTTTCGTTTACCAATATCTTCATATCAACAGCTTTGGCAATACATTTAAGAGTGAAAAAGATGTCTTCTATTCCATAAATCACTTTGTAAATAAAGCTGATAGTGAGGTTAAAGGTTTTCAGTTAATGGTTGCAGAGGATGTTTAAACTATTGCTTTCCTATTACTGTTTCTAAAAATAAACCAACCTTAATTACAGTTCTGTACATGCTCTTTTACAGTTCTGTACATGCTCTTTTACACTTATTTCGATGTACTTCCACCATGTTCAACCTAGTTCCCTGCTCTTCACCAAAGTCTTGTCGAACTTGAAAAACCCGACCGACAGGCAGAGAAACACCTCTGCACCACTCCACCCAACCTTGGTTTATAGAGCTGACTCATCCTGAAGAAGTAGGCTAGTCCTAAGAGCGCATATATCCTTCATGCAGAAACGTGAACAAATTGGCATTTTGGAGAGACAGATAAAAGATGTGATGGAGGAGGAGGGCGGGGGAAGCAGACTGATAGAGAATGGGAAATAAGAGTGAGGGAAAGTGAGCAAGAGGCAGAATATCTGAAGGACTGAAAGCAGAAAGAGAGGCAGTAAAACTTAGGAGTAATATTACTGAGAAACAGCCATTTATTGTTCTTATTTTGGAAAGTTGCATAATGTTGTTGGTTTGAACCTACCAAGGGACAAAATTCGTAATGTCAATAACACCCACATAGTCTTCCTCACTTTACTGTGAATAAAAGAGAGCTTCCTTTTGGCTAATGAAAATGGCTTCTAAACTTATTTTTTTCTTTACTTTTCTCTCTGTTGTGGACACCTTCAGCCACGCACATAAAAAACACATTTACCAAAGACTGTCATAACATAAGGAAGCAATTACATAATAAGGAAGTACATTGTTCATCCATTGACATATTGAGAAGGACACAGATGCTCTATTCAGCTAATGCTGATTTCCACGCACTTACTCATGCAATAACTGACGAGAAGAGAACTGAACTGAGAACAGATAGTTGACTGACATTTCTGAACAATGCTAACAAGAATGCGTGAGGCGTGAGCAGTCTTTTCAGTGCATGTGAATTTATGTTTAATAATGTTTGTAAGGTTTTGTGTGTTCATATGAATGTGCATTTAAGGTAGGTAAAACTGCATTATGTAGGTGTTAATGCTGTACTTGTTTCGGGGTTGCTCATGCCAGTGCGCACACGCCTTCTGGGGCTACCCTTGTGAAACATTCATTTGACCCACTTTCCACAACAAAAGAAAATTGAGGTTATGGGAGAAGGAGGAAAGAGGACAACATGAATATTAGATTTGGAATTTCTGAAGGAAGTCATCCCCTACAGGCTGCTGAATGAATATTTAATGAAGTTGGCCTTTCCACATCTCCTCAGAATGTTCCATGATGTGGATTTTTTGGAAATGTCATGACGGGGTCACCTTAACAGAAACATATTCAAACAGGCAAGTATGGTGCACCAAGGGTGGCATTTTGGAGATGCACACACACACACACACACACACACACACACACACACACACACACACACACACACACACACACACACACACACACACACACACACACACACAGATAGGTATGAGATATGATAAGATATGGTGTGTACATACATTCTGATTCATAAAACACTGAATGCTTTTACCTCCTCAGACCGCTAAAGTCTATTCAACTTAAAACAATCTGAGAAGGGAACATCCAGCTTCTGTTAAACCTTTCACAATTTATAGACATGCAGCCTGTGAGAAGGCGTCATGAGCAAACCTTACTTCACTTTAAATGGTCACAACCCAAAAAGGGAACCGCTGGATTACACCACCAGGTGTACTATTTTACGACATATGATGTGGTATGTGTGAACTGGTATAAACCTCATTTGATTGATCTGTGCATTGATAGAATTGCTAACATAATAGCATTTTTAGAGTTGAATTGAGCTGCATTTGCTGAAACTGAGCATCAGCTGTACAATTTAACCACAAGATGGCAGCCTTACAATAGATATTATATGACTGATGCTGGACAGTGCACTCAGCACATTATTTAGTGTATTTAATGGCATTTGGCTGAGATGTGTGCCAAAACACAATACCCATCCATTGTTACTGTGCATAATGCTGCCTGCATACATCATCATGTAGCTAGGAGAATGACTGGTGAAGAGCTACTGTTATTACAATTATTAAAGCGTTCTTCCGGCTCAACAATGGAGGTTGCAGCGCTGTGGTTTGGGGAGAAAACAATGCAGCTCAAGGAGCTGTGAAAATCAGTAGTTTAAAAATGTGTGCCATGGTAAATTCTTGACAATGACCAGCTATGCTCGCCCAAGAATAAAGAAATCTCATGCTGTGTGTCTGCTTTGTTAGTGTGTACAAAAACAAAAAACTTGATCAACTTGATTTGATAACTGCAGGGTGCCTACCTGTCAAGGATGAGATGAGATGAAAGAATAGAAGTGTTAAGAATATACTTATGTTGCATCAGTACATAAAACTTTAAACATTAAAGTATTTAGTACCAAACCTTCTGGATTTTTCTAAGTACTGCACTGGAGCTAGCTAAAAAGGCTGGTTCTAAACTAATCTAATCTTATCTGATCTAATCTGGCCTATAGAGGAGTGTAGCATGTACAGGTCTTTCATTTTAGCATATCCCTTGTAAAAAAAAAAATATTTGAACTATTTGTAAGAACATCAGAACTGAACTCATCATCATAGTAGGTCTATTGCTCTATTGAGCCTATCTGGAGAGGATTAAAGATATCAAAATAAACCCTTTTCTTTGGATATGAATTATCAAGGGAAAGGGAACACTGTAAGTCACTAGCTCATGCCTCATACTGTAGCCATTATCATTTTACAACATAGGTTTGTAGAATGAGAATAAAGGGAACTACAACTTAATCTCGTTATACAACCCTGTGCTGTACAATGACAAATAAATCTTCCTTGTACGTTGCACCTTGTAAAACTGTTAACTGTGTGTATCTGTAGGATTTCAACAGAACCACACGTAGGTGCACACGCACACTGCCCTCATAAAAACAACTAAAAGGGCCAAATGTCACTGTCCCACTGTTCACACTGTGTCACTAACTTGTGAAATAACCACCACCATTTGGTATTACATGTCCCAGACTTGACATGTAAACACATACAGGGTGAACCGTCCAATGTATATATCCCATAGTGTACAATTACTTGTAAAATGGAGGTGAAAAGTGCTATTATTAGTTGTATTTAAGTTATTTTTGCATGTAAACTTCATTTATTTTTCTTTACATTCTCAATGAAAAAAGTGTTGTTATTAATTCCATCAGTTCCTCTCTTGCCACCTAGGTGTCGAACTTTCCTGTCTCCCAACTGCTGGGGGGGAATGTAAAGATTTTGGCTACAGACTGATCACACATATTATGCAATTCATGCAAGTCAGACTCACATTAAATGCTGTTACTCTACAAGCTGTCTAAAGTCCAAAGAGGATGACAATAACTGCAGTTATTGAAATATATATTATAAATGTTACTGAGACATTTAATATTCCATTTACTTCCATGGCCTCCATTGTAATTGTTTGTTTAGCCCATCCCAGGTGACAAGCACCAGTGTCAACACCAGAACAATAGCAGTCTAAGCTGTACATTGATACCCTGTCAGTACACACTCCATAACCTCACACCCAGGTGTGCCTTCCTCCTCTGCTCCAAGTCAAACTTGGCACTGGATGATCAAAACAAGACGTTTTTTTCAGACACAGAGTGCATCCTGGTACACAGCTCTGCCCACATGGCCTCTCCTCCCCCACATGTACCTATATCAGGTATCATTTTTGTAAGGAAACGCTCACTCTCTGTGCTCCAGTCAACACGTCTTATGGTGAGACGGTTCCACTGAAGGCATGTCCAGGTATTGTGTAATCTTTTTGTTTTTTACACTGTCTGTAAGTCAGTTCAGAGTTGGTATGTTCTGGTTTATGATTCATCTTCATTTAGCAATGCTTAAATTTGTGGTTTGTGTTTGGCAAGTCATGAAGAGTGAAATCATGCCAAGCTGGGCAGAGTGGATTAGAATCCTGTGGAGAAAATATATCAGAATAATCAAATTTCAATAATCAATAGTATATCTTATTTCAGGTCAGAGTTTATAGCTGAGCAGAATGAAGTGAAAAAAAAACCTTTGAATATTGTTTATATTAGGTTGTGCATTTAATGTAAACCAAAGAAACAATACTAGCCAATCAGTAGAAGTAGAAACAACATCAGAATGGCATTGTAAAATTTTGTTCTAGGCCTTCTTTGCATACACTAAACATATTCAACAGTGTGCTCTGAAAATCTTAATAAGGAACATTGTCTTGCTTGTTTCATTATAGCAACATTGGCAACCAATCTGTACATATGATTAGCACACTAGACTGTAATATGAAGTTTGATTTGTTTGTCCGTTTGATTTTATTTTTCTTCAGCCAGGAGAAAGGATGGTTTCAGTCACACAGAAGAGGAGACGCTGTGCTGTGCTGCTTCTCTCACTCGCTCCATCAATCTTCCCTTCTCTGCTCACCTCTCTCCTCCCTGCTCTCATCATCTCGGTCTGGCCGGTTCTTTCACTATCTGTCCAAGTGACACAGAAAGCCATGACGCCTCCTGCTGGTAACATATCAACCGATGCTTTTACCCCTCCTGCAGTCCTGATTTCATCCGGCTCCACCATCAACCCAATGTCTTCTTCAAACATCTATGTTACAACCCTGTATCCCCCAAAATCAACATCAGCTACTTCTACAATGTCAATGTCTCTCTTTGACCAAACATCCTCCACAGATCTCCTCATATCCTGGCCCTCAGCTGCTACAAAAATATTTCCCCTTCAGTTAGGCAAAAAAGCCTTTTCTAACATCCCCATGTTGCCACTCTACCCCTGCAAATGCCTATTGACATTATCCCTCAAAACTATAGGACCACCTCTGCACAAAAACCTTCCATGTCATTTGTCCAAAATGACTTTGTATCCTCTTCACGCTGCTAAAGTATTTCCTCCGTCCAACTCGACTTTTCTTCCAAAAACATTGCCACCTTCCTCTCCACCTGAAACTCCTTCACACAAGCTTCCCTCTCCTGCTCCGACATCGTCCCTTTCTGCAGCATTGTCGCATTTAACCTCTGAAACATTGCAGCCTCCTCTTGCCAAAGCTTCCCCCATCCCTCCCCCCAAAACCTCGACATCCCTTCCAGAAGTGGCGGCCTCTCCTAAGCCTGGACCATTTCTGCCTCCCTCCCTACCCCACACCACAGGTCCACTGTTTGAGCACCAGCCCTTCTTCGTTAGCTGGAACATCCCTGATCTGGTGTGCAACAGGTACAACATTTCACTGGACACCTCACCCTTTAAAGGAGTGGCCACACCTGCTAAGGTGAGGGCACAAACATTTGAATGTTTTCTGTTGGAAATTGAGTTAAACGTTTAAATCTATAGCTGCAAAACACCTGTTATAATCAAACTGCAAGCTCATTTACTTTACATCAAGCTGTTATACAAGTACATTTACAAGACAGTTATTAATTTTCATTTTGCCACACATTTTCCCCCTAAGATTTTATTAGCTTCTCGGCAAATTGATTATAGGTCTTGTTTCTACATGATGCCAGCACACTTGAAATTAGAATTCAGAAAAGGAATCTTTTTCACTAGAGGTTATAAAGCTGTTCTTCTTCTTCAAAATGTCATCTTATACTTATTTAAGGTTAATTCACAAGTTGATTCACTTTTGTCATGTTTCTGCTGCAGGTCCCAGGCCAGTTCCTGTCTCTGTTCTACACAGACCGTTTGGGTCTTTACCCACATGTAGACCTTAGAAGCGGGAAACAGTTCAATGGTGGCATCCCTCAGAGAGGGAACCTGAAAGCCAGCATGGACAAGGCCAGTGCAGACATTAACTACTACATCCCATCTAAGTGAGCCAACCCTAAAATTACAAAATTCACCCTTAGTGATTTGACACATTTGATGCTGATCTTTAACCTCTCCCTCATTGTCCTGTCTTTGCTCCAGGACAAGCCGAGGCTTGGCTGTGATAGACTGGGAGGAATGGCGACCCTTATGGGACAGAAACTGGGGCACAAAGAGAATCTACCAGACATTATCTGTTGCTCATGTTATGCAAACAAACCGTTCCCTCACAGCGCAGCAGGCCACAGAGAAAGCCAAACAACAGTTCCAGGTAAGAGCTAAATGTGGGAAGATTCCTGAAACAAATGGTATTGCTCCGAACAGCTATTAAATATTGATGAAGAACTCTTCTCTTCTTCTTTCTTTCCGTCCCTTTCAGGTGGCAGCGAGGAGTTTCATGTCAGGGATGTTGGCAATGGGCAGAGCTATGAGACCCAGCTATTTCTGGGGCTTCTACCTGTTTCCAAACTGTTACAATTATGGCTGGGAGGAGCCAGATTACACAGGCCGTTGCTCCAAGGAAGTGAGGAGGCAGAATGATGAGCTGCTCTGGCTGTGGGAGTCCAGCACTGCCCTCTACCCCTCTGTTTACCTGCAGGTTGGTTAGATTGTAGGGCACTATAGACTTTTTATGAATAAATTATCCCTAATATTATTCCCAGAATTTTAATTCCTCAGACGTACCTTGCATCTTGGCACTTCAGGTCTCTCTGGCAGACAATCCCAGAGCTGCCCTGATGGTGAGAAACCGTGTCAAGGAAACTTTGAGAGTATCTGCCCTGCCCAGACGGAGTGGCACTACGCCTGTGTTTGTTTACATGCGACCTGTCTTTGTCGACAACAACAGACGCTTCCTCAGCCAGGTAAATAAGAGTCATTTAAATGTTGATTTATTTGAGTCATTGGGAGACCTTTATTAATGACGACCACTCACTAATCTTACTTAATAAATCAATAATTAAATCCATTCAAACAGATTCTATTTTTGAAACAACTCATCAGTGAGCAACCACACACTTGCCTAGATTAGATCTTGGGTTACTTCTTCATCCCAGCAATGAGGTGTTTCCAACTTGAGGTCCAGTTTTAGGAGGAGTTTGGTTTCTTGGTGTAACAACACCCATCTAAGGCGGTAACCCTCACCCGAGGGTGTAATCCTTATCCTCTCTTCTCACCTTTTGTAGAAATGAGACTAGTGTAAATGTCTGTGCTCAATGCATGTGTATACATGCTTTTTGTGTGTCTCATTTGTGAATGCCTGTGGTCAGTTCCGTGTATCTGTACAAAGGCTATTTTGAACGTATTTAACAATTTGTGTCCAGGGAGACTTGGTAAGCACCATTGGCGAGAGTGCAGCACTGGGAGTGTCTGGCGCTGTGCTGTGGGGGGCCAGTGCTGACTATGACGACCAGGTAACATCACACCGCAGAGCCCACTGGACTGCTGAAAGACATGACTGATGGCAGGTTGTCAGACCAGAGACAGTGTGTTCAGTTAGATGATACAGGAATCTGCTTGTCTCTGTGACTGACTGACAATACCTCAGTGGCACAGATGGTTGTTGGTTGTGCATCAGTATTAGTTCATTCATGGCAGGGAAGCTAAGATTAGATTGATGATTGTGACTTTCACAGGGTGTCTTCTGAAAGAGACCTCACCAATTAAATTTAAGTTCATATCCTACAGTTAGATAGGGTGCAAGGTTGTTAAAATATTGTAATTGTTTTTTTACCTCAGTTAATAGTTAGTTAACAGTATTTACTTGAGTGACTCACAACAACCTGTAAAAACAATGTTCTTTGAAAGCAAAAGTTGACACTTTGGGAAATATGCTTATTTGATTTATAAGGCAGCCAGTTAGCCTGGCTCTGCCTAAAAGTAACAAATGCCACCTAAAAGTAACAAACGCCACCTCTTATGCTCACTAATTAAAAAGTTTGTTTGTTTAAGCCATATAAAAACCGAATTTTAAAACCACAGGTTGTGCTTTTACTGGATTAGCTTTGTGCTGGACTATTTCTTGGCCGGGAGCAGTGACTTCCTGAGGAAATAATGTGACACAACCCACGGTCAAACATTTTTGCATAGGATTAAGTAATGAGATATAACACATTGGACAGAGCCAGTCCAGCTGTGTCCCCCTGTTTCCAGTCTTTATGCTAAACTAAGCTAACCATCTCTTGGCTTTAGCGTCATATTGAATAGACAGATATGAGAGTGGTACTATAGATCTTATAATCTAATAATCTTACTTATTAATCATAAGTAGGGAAATCAACATAAAGTATTTCAGCGCTGTTGACTTATTGTAATGTTGCATTTCAGACATATAGTATTACATACAGAGTATAACATATAAATATACAGAGAATGTTTACATTTAACTTCCTGTTCCTTCTTCAACTCTCTACCACCCTAGACATCTTGTGAAGCCTTCTCATCCTACCTCTCCTCCACCCTCAACCCTTACATCACCAATGTCACCGTAGCTGCACAGCTCTGCAGCAACTTCCTGTGTCAGGGGAATGGCCGCTGTGTCAGAAAAAACTACAATTCCAATTACTACCTCCACCTAAACGCTGAGAATTTCAGGGTCTTGCATCTTCAGAACCGCTACTTTGTCCTAGGGAGACCTACCTTCACAGACCTGAAGACTTTGAGTAGGAGGTTTACCTGTCAATGCTACAAAGGACTGAGCTGCTCTCCAAGGACACACAGTGAGCTAGCCAAGGCTCTTCTATTTAGTGTGAAGCAAGGGGTGCGCCAAAAGGCTCACACACTGAATAAATCCATGTTAGATGACTCACAACAAGCCAGTATTACAAAGGACAATGTTAAAAAGAACTTGAAAGTTTAGCTTATATTAATTCTGGGAACTATCCAGTCCTCTCATAATCCAGTGCTGAATAATTTGTGTGTTTATTCTACAGCGTGGTTTGCATTTTTGCTCAAGTGAGTGCACAAAAGCAGATTGCCTCGCGATGCATCCTTAGTGAACCTGGATCTACTGGCTTGGTTGGGGAGTACTAACTCTGTAGCAGGGTTTTCTGGCAGAATTCAGTGATACCATCAACCATTTCGTTATCAGCTCACCTTTTTAAATTGCTATGTTGTTGCCTCCAATCACTGATACTTTTTGCAGCATTGAGTGACTAGTGTTAGCAGACAGTGTTAGCAGCTGATTACTGGCCCGATTAAAAGGACTCAGGAAGCATTACTTCATCTATATAATGTGTATACTATGTTCACTGACAGAAGATGTTCCATAGTATTGCCAAAGAACAGTGCTACCATTCAGGGGTTATAATCTCTAATTAAACGTACAAACAAATACTGTGCTATGGCCTTGGCAGTGTGACAATATTATTTCCATTGTGTATTTGTATATAATTTGACTGTATATGTAAATAAATGACAGAGACAGGGAGCAGCATTGTTGTTGGTTTTCTGTTGAACTTCTATGGCACAACAAGAGTTCTGTTAAAACTCAAAACTTGATTAACCAAATGTACTGAACTATGCTTTGTTTACTTCATTTAATTAGTTTTAAGTGTTTTGGGTTACATTCTTAATCTGTAAAAACGCATTAAACAAATGAAAAGGTTGGTCACTCCGTGTCGAACCCTCTGTGTTTTCACTTATGAAAAAAGAACAGGTGTTACTAAAATCATTAACAATGGTGTGTTCTAAGTCAGTAAGCCAATGTAGTGACAGCAAGTCAGCATGCGCAATACCAGGACCCTGAAACCAAAGCAGCAAAATGGAATTCAACCATCGTTCGTTTTATTATTTATACCTGTGTTGTGCATTTTGCCTACTTCAACATGAGTAGAGATCTAATCAGATAAGTGGCAACACCTGTAAGGGTGTACAGGGCTAGTAAGAGGTCAGAAGAACTAAACTAAAATAAGTTTCTGCTTGCAAACTTGTTATCAAGCAGTTACCTACTTACACATTAGGAAGACATGGCACAACATTAGGAATCATTTGGGGATGTGATTATGGCCACAGGGCAAGTCCAATATGTAATCTTATTTTTTCTCTGTTTTAGTCTCTAAACCCTGAGAGAAACAACTGGGCCATTAGCTTGCTAGACTGCTGACCAGCTAATAGCTAACTTTACTCTGTGTTTGGTATTGATCTGGCGGTGTACAGTGTGTTTATTGGAGCCTTTTTTAAGCTGCAAACTGCTACTGCGAACAGGATTTATAAGAGCTTGGATATATACAGTAAGTGTGCTGTAAAACAAAAAGGATTTAAAAAGCTGAAAAGCAGCAGAGAGCTGCAGAGTCAGCTAAGTTTCTGTATTCATCATTTCGACACCTTTCACATTAAACATAATATTAATAATTTTATTCAATTTCAATATAATAAATATTGATTTATGGCGCTTTGCAAGTTAATGGATGGTCAGCCTGCATTACAACGTTACAAGTGTTGCATTTAAGGATGTGTAATGGTGATGCTAATTAACAGTCACACAGTTGCATGTATCCTACTTCCTGTTTGTACACAGCAGTCCTTTACTACTTATTGAGAGTGCTAATAAGTCTTTTTGGAAGAGTATATATATATATATATATATATATATATAGTATATGGTATTCCCATTGTGGTGTTGTCAGCAGATACTGTGGGTCATGGCTGCGTCCCTTGGGTGGTAAGCAAGTGAGGAGCATCTGGATTTTAGTGTTTGCTTATGTCACAGTGGGCCTCCAAGGTGGTTTACACAGAGAGAGAAAGACCATTTGATACATTGTTGATTTTGCACCCCATTTTAACCACAAATATCAATTTTAAAATTTAAAAAGTTATTATCACATGGTTGTCACTATTCGCTATGACAACATATAACACATAATCTGTGTCCACACACCAAACACACGCTGCCATGACAACTTTCAACATGTATAAACTGCAACAGAAAGTTGCAACAGTGAGCATCAGAACCCTAAAAACACTCGAAGTTCAGGACACAGACAAATATCAAGTAAAAGCTTGAAGTGTGAGCTTTTTGTTGAACTTTCCTGGTTCCTCTCTGTCTTGTTTGCTTACTTTATTCATCACCACAATATCTCAACAAGGAAGCAATAATGAGAGATAACACAAATAGTTTTTGTGTGTACCAGGAACTAGTGTGTGTTTGTTCTAGTAGAGAAAGTAACTTCCAGGCATAAAGCCAATGTAACCATCACCATCATATAATCTGTTGTTTGTGTCTTTTGTTGAGTTTTTAGAGAAACCGGTTTCATGTATGAGATATGATATGTTTTGACCAGAACCAATGTAGAAAGGGGTTCCTGCAGTTGACAGTACCATGTGTGTGTTATGAATCAGCCTGAAAATTGGTTGCAGACCTTTTTGTTTTGTTGGTAGCCTATAATTGGCAATGTTTTAACAGAGTTAAAACACAAGGCACCAAATAAATAAAGAAAACCTTCCTCTTTACTGCATAATATCTCAAGCAAGGCTTGCTTACCTTCTCCACTTCATTTTCTTTCCACCTTTCTTTTTCAACTGAAGTGGTCAAATAAACACCAAATTATAGCTTTTACCGGGACTCTCCTGGTGTATTTTATGAGAGCAAGTCATGTTTTATACACATACAGTGTGAAACATGATTGCTCAGAACTCTGTTGAAATATGTAAATGGTGTTTTCCAAGATTAGAGTGAAGAAATGAAAGGTTACCAGTTGTGCCACAGGAAAAATTTAATTAAAATTGTAAGTGGTACAGTATGCCGTTGCAAATTTTATTCCCACCTCATAGCACAAGCATGATTTAAAAAACAGTTACTCGGCCAAGAAAAATCTTAAAAATGTACAAAGTACATATCAATTCTCATGTGGTTGTGGGTCAGTGAATACAAATGTTTAAGACCTTAATATAGCTGCCAAGTTATAAATATTAAAAACAAAACCCACCAGCCCTAGGTAGGGCTCACTGCATTGTAAATGTTCAGTGCTAGTTCTATCAGTTCTGATACAATTTAACATGATTTTAAAGTAAATGGTTCAGTATAATAATTGTGTTGTATATTACCCTATTCATATACTTTTCATAAATATTAAATACGTGCAGTCACAGATTTAATAAAGCTCCCCACAAAAACAAGAAGAAATTCTGGTTTCTTAAGAATCCAAGGTGAATGATTCTAAAATATTTAATGATGAATGAACAACAATTTTCAGAGCCGCTCCCACAGCATACAAGAGCGTACAGTTATTACGTTTACTGAACCCTTAGAACAGACTCAAATATAGTAGAACAGACTTCACATTCATTCAAGATTGCATCCAGCAAATCACAAGCTTAACAAAACATTCAGAAAAAAAAAATACTAATTTCTACAATAAGTAAATACAAATGATCAGAATTTAGAGTTGTGATTACAACAAAATATGTTCTAATTATGAAGAAATTATTTAAGGGCAGCTTCATACATGATGAGATTGATTCCAGCACCAAGTTAAAATGCTACCTTGAGAGAGTTAAATGGCTTTAACTGCTGGAACTCCAAAAGATGCTTAGTTATCTAATGACTTGTATAGAGTGCTAAGATTTATCAGTATTTGTTTAGTCACAGTGCCAGGTGCTTAGGTTAGTTTGCTAATGATGCATAAGAACACTGTAACACAGTTGTGTGTTTCAGAATATGCTAAAGTCTAAGGTGGAGTTTATTTAGGGAATATTTCAATAAAAATATCCTTTCTGGATGCACAGTATGTCTGTCCTATATTCCCTTGTGAAGTTGATTAATGGATTTAAATGTAATGCTTTCTCGTTGACAGATTTTTGTCAGCTTTGTCACTGTAGCAGGGCTGCTCATCTATCTGTCTGTCAAATATTATTATAATTCATATTTTACATGAAATGTCTGTCAGTTTGGGGTAAACATGCTCAGTAAAAGTACTTTAGAAATGGATCTGACTCGACTAGCCTTGTTGCATTCATGGGGCTGTTAAAAAACAAAACATACTTGTCCTTAACAGGAGGTTCTGTAGTGTCTGACAACTCTTCTGCCTTAATTATTTTAATATGCACCCAGAGGATTTCTTACTGGAAATATTAGCATTCTACACAAAATGATGCATGTTCTACATTGTTCAGTGATTAAAAAATGAAAGCTGCAAGGGTAGTGAAACCTAAACTGCTTGTTTGTTTTTGTTGGACGTATAAATCTGTCAATCTGATCAGCTGTGGTTAAATGTTTCAACATAACATCATTTAGCGATGGAACCAGTATGATCTGATAATGGAACAAATGCACTCGCCTCACTGACTTGAAACCGTTAATACATTTTTATAACGATTTGCACTGCTGTGAGATATAAAAAGAGGAACCCCATGGACACCAAGCCTTGTTTGATTGAGTCTAGTTGACTCCGTTTGCACATGAAGGCACTCCAGCAAAGTAGCATTTGGTTCATGAAAGAGTCACAGTAAAATCTCACTTCTCACTCGTATACATTCAGCTACAGGTTTTCTTGCTACATATTACTGGGTTTACTCTAATAGTTACCATGCATTACTTGGGCTATATTAATGTTAATTAACAATACATGTTTTTAAAGAGATTTAAAACTTAAGACAATTAAAAACTGATTTATTGCATGAAAGAAAATGGAACACTGTCCTCTAAATAGCTGTGTGTGTGTCTTCTTTGTCTTTAATATATATATACTTTGGAATCTTAAAGGGCAATATGTTTATTTTGGTGAACAAAACCTAAACCCTAAACCTTTTTTTGAAACAAAACCTTCCAGATGTTGGTTGATTTGCACTTTGTAGCATGCACATATGAGCCACAGTTAAAGCATGCCAATGCATCTTATGAAATAATCACACTAGACCTGCCACAATGCATGTAATGGATAAGATGGCGAGTCTGCCACTGGAGTCATTAAAAAAACAAACAGATTATTCACACTTTCAAAGTCATGAAGACTTAAAAAATATTAATATTACAACTATATTTTACATCAGGTAAAAATGGCAGTAGGTAAATTTAATCTAAACAGGTTAGATAAACAATTCAGGGTCCTTTTAATTGTGTTTTATCTTTGTCACTGGACCCAGAAATATCAGCTGGAAAATGTCTCGTCTGCATACTGGTGACAAAAGTCCAGATTCCAAAGTAACCAACTCTAAATTTGCTAAAAAATCTGAACTGCATTAAATGTTGTGTCATCATCTCAGCATCTGTTGTGATGACAACACACTGCTGACCAACTGCCCAAAGTCTCAAAGTAATTATCTCAGATCTGCTTTGAAATGTGAACAAATGCAGAGCCCCGCACCTGTTTATACCATGGTTTGAGCTATAAGGCCAGACTGGTCCCACAATATACCTCCTGCACTACCACAACTTTTAGTCTATTTTCATCAAATCAGTTGGATTTGATGAATTTGTTAATTAGAATAAAATAATGCCTGCTTGTGTCTCCATCCATGTGATCCAGACTTTCCCTAGAAGTTAAAACTTAAAAAAAAAATTAAAGTTGTTTTATCTTTGACTCCAGCTGACCATTGACCTCTCCATTCTCTCCACTCAAAACATTTACATCTTTGGTGCACTTGATTCTCAGCAGGACATTAGACAGCATGTCC